CAGAGCTTAAAGAAGATGGACTGGTCAAAGGAATGAGACGGAGGGAAAGCCCACATCACTTCACAAATAAAGGAAACAGTCTCAAAACTTCCAGAGAAGAAAATGAATTGACAGATGAAGGGGCAGTTTTCCGGCTGGCAGCCGACTTCTCATCAGCAACACTAGATGTTAGTAAGCAATGGAGTCACGTCTTCAACCTTCTAAGGGAAAATGGTTTTGAACCAGAGTTTCTCTGCCAAGTGAAATTAGCATTCAACTGTGATGGTGAAATGAGGACCTTCTCTGAACTGCAAAGCCTCAGCAAATTTGCCAGCCAAAAGCCCTTTATGAGAGAATTGCTGAAAGTGCTCCCGGAAAGGAAGAAAACAAAGCGAGGACGGAGAAGATACAGGTTTCGAGAAAAATCGGTGAGTGTATACTTCAAAAATTGGTTTGGGGCTGGAGCGATAGCACAGCAGGTAGGGCATTTGCCTTGCATGCGGCCAACCCGGGTTCGATTCCCAGCATCCCATATGGTCCCCTGAGCACCGCCAGGAGTAATTCCTGAGTGCAGAGCTAGGAGTAACCCCTGTGCATTCCCGGGTGTGATCCAAAAAGCAAAAAAAAAAAAAAAATCAGTGTGAGGTATCATAGTTGGCACTGTTATTTTGTTTGGGAGCCACACCTGGTGATGCTCAGTAGTTACTCTGGCTCTGCATTCAGGAGTCATTCCTGATGATGCTGAGGGGACCATATGGGATGCCCAGGAACGAATCTGGGATGGCTGCATGTAAAAGGATGGCTGCATGTAAAACAAACATCTTACCTGTTCTACTGTCTCTCCATCCCCAGTTGGCATGGTTATTTTAAAGGCTCAATCAAGACTTTGAAATTTTACATATATTTATACATTTTGCTATTTGGTCCAAACCTAGCTGTGCTGAGGGCTTATTCCTGGCTCTGCTTACTCATAGCAATGCTCAGGGGGACCATATGGAGTGCTGTGGATCTAATCAGGGTGGTCATATGCAATGCCAGTGCCTTGATCACTGTACTGAAGCCCCTTAAAGTTATTTTTTTAAAGGTATTTTGGTTTTTGTTTAGGGACCACACCTGGCAATGCTTAGGGATTATTACTCCTGGCTCAGCATTCAGGATTTACTACTCGTGGTACTTAGGGGACCAGGGATACTGGGGATTGAACCTGGGTCAGCTATATGCAGGGCAAGTGCCCTACCCACTGTACTATATCCCTGGCCCAAAAAAGGTATTTCATTTTTTTTAGGGCTCATACCAGGGTTAGATTCTCTGTGGTATTGGGTTGGGAAAGGGGCCACGAGATGTTTAGGGTTGGGCTAGGTTGGGCTATGAGAGAACATATGTTTGCATGTGTAAGGTTGTAATTTCTATTCCTCACATGGCAAAAAAGGGGGGAGATTATATGTATTTCAGATATTGAAAATGTTACTTTATGCGTAAATAATGAAAGTAAATGCAAGAAGAATAGATTTAAAATCATAAGGAAAATGGACCGAATGAATTCACCTGAAAGCCCTCATAGAACAGGAATAAAAACAAATATTCGTTGGGGCCAGAGGGATAGAGCAGCAGGCAAGACAATTGCCTTGCAACAGCTGACCTGGGTTTGATACCTGGCATTCCATTGGGTCCACTAGCTTGTCAAGAGTGGATCTTGAGGGGGCTAGAGCGATAGCACAGTGGGTAGGGCGTTTGCCTTGCACACTGCCGACCCGGGTTCGATTACCAGCATCACATATGGTTCCCTGAGCACCGCCAGGAGTGACTCCTGAGTGCATGAGCCAGGAGGAACCCCTGTGCATCTCCAGGTGTGACCCAAAAAGCAAAAAAAAAAAAAGGTGAATCTTGAACACAGAACCAGGAGTAAGCCATGAGCACTGCTGAATGTGTTGCTTCTGCCTCCCTCGCAAAATGCACCAAATATTAATGGACCAATTTTTTTTTTTTTCTTTTTGGGCTGGAGCGATAGCACAGCGGGTAGGGCATTCGCCTTACAAGCGGCCAACATGGCCGACCCGAGTTCGATTCCTCCGCCCCTCTCGGAGAGCCCGGCAAGCTACCGAGAGTATTTGATATGCCAGACACAGTAACAACAAAGTCTCCAATGGAGACGTTACTGGGCCCGCTCGAGCAAATCGACGATCAACGGGAGGGCCTTTACCTTTACCTTTACCTTTCTTTTTGGGTCACACCCGGTGATACTCAGGGTTTATTCCTGGCTCATGCACTCAGGAATTACTCCTGGCAGTGCTCGGGGGACCATATGGGGTGCTGGGAATCGAACCTGGGTCGGCCATGTTGGCCGTATGCAAGGCAAACGCCCTACCTGCTGTGCTATCGCTCCAGCCCCTGGACCAAATATTAATGCTTGTCCTGCAATAGATATAAATAATTTAATTCAGTTTGTTTTCCTGTTTTGTGGGTGGATTGTTTTTGTTTTGGGGACAATACCCTGTGGTGCTCAGGGCTTACTCGGGCTCTGCTCAGAGGACCATATAGGATGCTGGGGATTGAACCCTTTCTGCAAGGTAAGTGCCCTACCTGCTGTATTTTTTTAACCAAATCACTGAGATAATGCAGTTACAAAGTTGTTCATGACTGAGTTTCAGTCATAAAATGTTCCAACACCCATCCCTTCACCAGTGTACATTTTCTGCTACCAATGCCTCCAGTTTCACTCCCTCCTGCTCCCCTTCCCTGCCCCCACAGCCTGCCTCTATGTCAGACTTCTCTCTCTCTCTCTCTTTCTCTCTCTCTCACACACACACACACATACACACACTCACACACCCACACATACACACATTCACACACACACACTCTCTCTCACACACACACACTTCCTTTTTAGGCACTGTAGTTTGCAATACTGTTACTGAAAGAATGTCATGCATATCACTTGACCTCCTTTCAGCACTCAGTTCTTGTCCAGAGTGATCATTTCCAACTATCATTGTCACAGTGGTCCCTTCTCTGTCCTAACTGCCCTCCCCTTCCCCCTTTGTGGCAAACTTCCTACCATGGACCAGTCTTCCTGGCCCTTGTTTCTGTCTTTGGGTATAATTCACATATTATGCTTGTTTGTTTGTTTGTCTTATATCCTGCAAATGAATGCAATCATTCTGTTTATTATTCTCCCTCTGACTCATTTCACTCAGCATGACACTCTCCATGTTCATCCATGTATAAGCAAATTTCATTACCTCATTATTCCTAATAGCTGTGTAGTGTTTCACTGTGTGAATGTACCTCAGAGTCTTATTTTTATTTTACTGTTTGGCTTTTTGAATTATACCTGGCGATGCTGAGGGGTATCTGCACTCAGAAATTGCTCCTGGCGGTACTCAGGGGACAATATGGGATGCTGGGGATCGAACATGGGTCAGCCGCTTGCAAGGCAAATACCTGCAAATACCCCACCTGCTGTACAATTGCTCTGGCCCATCTGTTCTTGGGCTCTTGGGTTGTTTTCAGATTCTGGCTATTGTGAACAGTACTGCAATGAGCATAGGCGTGCAGATGGATTTTCTGCTATTTTGGGTCACTAGGGTATATTCCCACGGGTGGTATTGCTGAGGTCTTAGGGAAGCTCAATTTCTAATATTTTGAGGAAAATCATACCGTTTTCCAGAAAGGTTGGACCATTTGGCATTGCCACCAACAATGAATGAGAGTCGCTTTCTCCCTGCATTCATGCCAATACTGATCATTCTTTCTGATTTGTTCCAGTCTCTGTGGCATGACTGCTATATTCTTTCCAGTGGCCCCTGAACTCATTATCATGGACTTGGCTGGCAATCACTTTATTTATTTATTTTATTATTGTTTTGGGGCCACATCCTACAGTTCTCAGGGCTCACTCCTGCTCTGTGATCCCCAAAAGGAATCATTCCTTTGGGGCTCGGGGAACCATATGGGGTACTGGGGATCTGGCAAACACTTTAAACTGCTTAGCAGCCTAAAGTCCCAGAGATCTTTTTTGTTGTTGTTGCTTGGTTTTGTTTTTTTGCATTTTTGCCCTTTATATCCAGCTGTTGTAATTGACAAATTAAGTAGCTCCAGGTTCTGGGGACCATGAAGTTCCTGGTACCACGATTGGCAGCATGCCAGACAACATTGGCCTTAACCCCTGCCCTAAAGGAATTTTAAAAACTGCACATTTAAGCTACTTTGTTCATCAGATCTGACAATTACATGACTGTCACCTAAACTACAATAAAGTAAAACTACCTATAATAAGCAGATATTCATTAAGGTCGTGATTTGGTCTTGTACACTATGTTGGGAGTATGGGTTCAGTCCCCGGTACCCATATAGGCCTTGAACCCTGCCAGGAGTGATCCCTGAGTGCAGAGCCAGGAGTAAGCCCCAAGTACTGCTGGGTCTGGTTCAAAAGACCCAAACTGCCACCCCACATCCCCAAATAGTAATAATATAGAAGTAGTTTTCTACATATTTCCTAATTGCCAGTATCATGGTCCTATTAAATTCAGAGTCTGATGGAAGACTTATTTCATTTAAAAGTTAAATAAGCAATTTTTTTTTTTAACTTTCAGGATCAAACTATACCCGACTCCAAGTGTGGATCTGGGGAACCTCCCCATGAGGGCTTGAGCTTTCTATTCATTAAAGAAGTAAAGGTTCCTAAGTCGGGAGAGAACAGGGACTTCAGGACGCAGGAAGAGGAGTCTTCTGTCTGGAAGGAAAAAGAAGATCCAGAGAAGACAGAGTCCTCGGAGCTAGAGGAAGAGAGAGAAGAGGATTCTGAACTGGAGGGGGTAGAAAAGGCCTCTGGCTTTGTGGGGGAAGGAGACGAGACCTCAGTTCTGGATGCAGAAGAAGAAACCTCAGGGCTGGAGGAGGAAGAAGAGGAACGGGAGGAGGTGGAAGAGGGAGATGAAGACGAGGGGGATGAAGAGGCCTTTGGGTTGGAGGAAGAGGAAGAACAGTGGGCATTTGACTCAAGCTATCACCATCACACCATGGTGGTGTCAGAGCCTGGCGTTGAGGAGATAGCCATGGTTGGCCTGGAGGTGGCAGCTGTGCCCAGCAGTCACAGGGGTGGAGCACTCTGTCCACCCTCTGCTTTCACCTCTGGCTTTGCATCAGTAGAGATGAGTTCTGACGAGCAGAAGCATCACTCATGGACGGATGAGAGTATTGCATCTGGAATCATCCGTCTCTTAAACAACACAGAGGAAGATGAGAGAGACAAAACTTCCCACACCGCAGAGCTCATGTCGAAAGGTGCTGCTGACTCAACGCAAGAAACAAAAGACTTTGGAAGCGTTATTAGTATCTTCAAAGAGCTACAAGAAGGAATCGGGAATATTAAACATTACCACCCAGAAGTCTTGCAAATAAAGAGTTCAATCGATGCCCTGAATAGCAGAATAGATGTCTTTGAACTGAGAATGAACAATCTAGAAGATCAAATTGAAGATGGATCCAGGAACTCCGTGGATCCAATCCAAATGGCCAAGCACATCATCAACAAAGAGAGGCTAAGAGATATCGAGGATACATCCAGGAGTGCCAATATCCGTTTGATTGGGATTCCTGAAAATTATAATAAAGAAAATGGAGCAGAGGATATAATCAAAGAAATAATTGAAGAAAACTTCCCGGAACTCAAAAGAGATTCCAGCCTTGAAATTGTCAGTGCCTACCGCGTCCCCAGTAAATTTGATGAAAATAGACTCACTCCTAGACATATCTTAGTGAAGTTTTGGAATTCTCATGACAAAGAGAAAATCTTACGGCTTTCCAGAGAGAGAGAAGAGATAACCTACAGAGGAACGAGAATCCGGCTGACAGCTGACTTATCATTGGGCACGCTGGATGCCAGGAGCAAATGGGCCAACATCATACGAGTTCTACAGGAAGAAGGCTTTAAGCCTAGAATCCTCTACCCCGCCAAACTGGCATTTAATTTTGAAGGCAAAACAAAGATCTTTTTTGATATTGAAGAATTCAAAGACTTTATTTTTTGCATACCCTCTTTAAAAGGATTACTGGAGAATATACTTTAGCAATCGAGAGTGACTCTAAACACTTAAATTTCTGTTTCCCTTCCACGACCAAGTAAAACAAGGGAAACTAGAAAATAAAATGCTATACCTCTCCAGGGTGATGGACAATTTAAAAGCATGCTTAAGGACGGGGCAAGGGTCATATATTAAGCAGATGTTGGTCAAGTTAAAAAATTGGTGGTAACCATGTAGCTTATGTAGAAATAAGTTTTCTAAATCACTGTGGGAATCTGTTCATGTAATCATAGACTAGAAAGTGTGTGTTGTGTGTTGTGTGTGTGTGTGTGTGTGTGTGTGTATACGTGCACGCAGAGAGAGGGGGGAGGAATCCATGGGGAAATGTTCGAGATAATTAACAAGATGAGATAAATGGGGAAGAAGGCAAAAAGTTGAAACTCAACAAAATCTTGGTCATTTGTCACATGGATCTTGAACTTTTATTAAATCCTTTGAATTGCTAAATTGCTTTGCTTCTTAAAGTTTCTGAGATATTTGATCACTGGTGCTATCGTAACTCTTTTTTTGAGGGGGGAGGGGAGATCTTGGGCCATGGCCTGCACTGCTCAGGGATTACTCCTGACCCTGCTTGGGGAACTGTTGACACTCTCCCTGCCACAAGCCCTTGACCACTAGAGGTCACTGGGCCTGTAGGGAGTAACCCGGGTCCTGTCTTCTCTGGGAACCAGGCTGTTGCCTGTGGAATCTGATATTTCTAAGAATAACATAGGTAAATTGGCCTTGATTTGCCGGTAGCCAATAGCTTGAGATGTGGGAAACAGACATCTTTGGGTGTCAGCCATACTTCAACCATAGAGCATCAAGGACAGAGCTCCAGCAGCTTCTTCCTAGTCAAACACCCTGCCTCCCTCAGCCTCTTTTTAACCCTTGCTTTTCCTAATAAACTCGGTCATGTGTCTACAAGTCTATGGCCTTGTGAATGTGAGTGGCCTTGTCTCAGCTATGCTGCATGCGAGTCTTTGAGCATCCATTGCCCTAAACCAACAAATCGTCTCCTCATTCCCGGGATCCCTGTCATTACTAGATAACGACGGGGACCACATGTGGTGCCAGGAATCCTAACCTAGTTCAGTGAGATGCAAGGTAAGTATCTTATCCTTGGACTGTCTCAGAGCTCCCTTATTTAGAGCCTATTCAGATGTGCCCAGATAAACTCCATTATCTCATGTCATGTGGTATACTGGGCAGACCCATATCCTTGGGCCCCAGCACTGAACCCTCAGCCTGGTTGGCAAAATGTAGCTGGGAGTATCCCCTGAGCATTGCTTACGAGGGCCCACAAATAAACCCCCATCTCCGATCCCTTAGTGGAAGTTATACTACAGAGTCACTTGCCGTGGAAGGTGTCACGTACAGGCTTCCCTTAGGAGCAGATGCTTCTGGAGGCCAGCCAGACGACAGGCTTTCCTAGAGCCCACTGTGACTGCCAGCCTGGGAGGCTCTACCACTTCCTTTGTAGGTGGGGAGCCTGTAGGCGTGGACCTGTCCAGCTCGTGTTAGGCCTGTGTCCAGCCTTAAGCCTGGCAAGCACAAGCTTTTGATGATTGTCATTTCACGAAGGCTGTCTGGGTGACAGCAGAATGACCCGCACCCCGGCAGGGCTCTATGCCTTTTGGGAATGAGGCTGTTTGCAGTGACTGAACTTGCTCCCAGCTGCAGAACCTGAACCTGCCCTTGGAGGAGGGGAGCCACAGCTATTTTCCCGCCTTTGGAAAAGAGTAGGAACTGCTGAGAGTCAAGAAGCAGAGGGCATGGAGAGATGGAGCACAGGATCTGCATGTGGGAGGTTTAGTTCCCCAGCACGGCATGGCTCCCACAAGTGTTCCCAGGTGCGACCCCCTATAGAAATCCAGAGCTGGGGCTGGAGCAATAGTACAGCGGGTAGGGTGTTTGCCTGTCATGGGGCTGATCCAGGTTTGATTCCCAGCATCCCATATGGTCCCCTGAGCACCGCCAGGAGTAATTCCTGAGTGCGTGAGCCAGGAGTAACCCCTGTATCGCCTGGTGTGACCCAAAAAGCAAATATATTTATATTTATATATATCCAGAGCTGGCTCCTGGCTGAGATCTTCAACACATCTCAAGGACTTCACGTGGTAACTTGGAGATGTTTTCAGAGCAGCCAGTCAGCAACATAGCAATGTGATGTCCTTCTAGTGGCTCCTTGAAATTGGTCACAGTAGGTTGAAGCAAACTACCAAAACACCAGTTTTCCGCCCCAGTCCTGGCCATGAAACTGCAGATGTCCCCAAGTGAAGGCCAAATAGCTGCTTATCCTCTGCACTGGAAATCAAAGGTTTTTTTGGGGGGGGCTTTTTGGGTCACACCTGGCGATGCACAGGGGTTACTCCTGGCTCTGCACTCAGGAATCACTCCTGGTGGTGCTCGGGGGACCATATGGGATGCTGGGAATCGAACCCGGGTTGCCGCGGGCAAGGCAAATAAATGCCCTACCCGCTTGCTATGCTGTGCGGACGCGCCAGCCCCTGGAAATCAATTTGAATGGGACTAAGTTTGAACCTAAGGGATTGGTTGGTTTGGGATTTTTGTTCTTGTTTTGTGGTTTTGGCTGTGGGTGAGGGTGTTACATCCTGGATGCTCAGGATGTTACTCTTGGCTCTGAATTACTCCTGGCTATCCTTGATCCTTGGGGGACCATAGGGGATGCCCCAGAGGATCAAATCTGGGTCAATTGTGTGCAAAGCAAGCAGCCTACCTATTGTAAAAGTAAGTAAAGGCCGTAGCATTGTTCATAGATTTGCTCGAACGGGCCCAGTAATGTCTCCATTGGAGATTTTGTTGTTACTATGTTTGGCATATGGAATACATCACGGGTGGCTTGCCAGGCTCTGCCATGTGGGCGAGATACTCTTGGTAGCTTACCGGGCTCTCCGAGAGGGGTGGAGGAATCGAACTCGGGTCAGCCATGTTGGCTGCATGCAAGGCAAATGCCCTACCGCTATGCTATATGCTATATGCTATATGCTGGAGCAATAGCACAGCGGTAGGGCATTTGCCTTGCATGCAGCCAACTACCTATTGTACTATTCCTAAAGCCCCTCCTGGGATTTGGGAGGGTGGGTGGGAGGGGTTTACTGAAACAATGCTGAGTGGCAGAACAGCAAGGACACCAGGCCTGTCAAGCCAGCAAAAGGGTTTGGGGCCACACCTGGTAGTGCTCAGGGCTACTCTTTCCGTTGCTTGGGGATCAGAGCTGGGGGTGCTGGAGGGATCAGGTGGTGCTGGGGATTGAACCTGGGCCTCCCACATCACTTATCCCATAGTGCCCTACAGCCCAGACAGGGTCTGTTTCTAAGGGGGACATGGTTTTCCCAGTCACCCCTGGGCTTATGATGCCTTCATTCCTGAAGTCAGGACTGCTTATACCAATGCTGATACCGGCAGATATTTCCAAACCCTGCATGTGAGATCCCAGGTTTGACTCTCTGCACTGCAAAATCGAATATAAAACAATGACAGAAACTTACCTACCTTTCACATGTGGTCCCTTAAGCACAGAGCCAGGAGTAAGCCCTGAGCACAGCCATGTGTGGCCCAATCCCAAGCAAACCACCCTCCCCCCGCCCAACACTACCACCTCTGCCAAGTATTGTAGTTGAGGTAATATGCTAATAGTGTTGGCATTTATGGTACTGGAGTACAAGATTACTGCACTTTCACACCACTAAAGGGTCCAAGACCACTGTTCATATTTCATCTTAGTCCCCGAGTCAAAACCACACAAAGACACACACACACGTGCACATATAATACAGAGTATATATATATATATATATATATATATATATACATATATATATATAGGGCCACATGGGCTGTGCTCAGGGATTACTCCTGGTGTTGCTTGTGGGGCCATATGAAGCACTGGGGATTGAGCTTGGATCCACCTCATGCAATGTAAGTGCCCTGCCCACTCTACTATCCAGGCCCTAAATTTCTGGTTTTAACTTCATTGTTTCATTTCGCTTTCTTGGAAATTATTAGAATAATAATAACAATAGTTCTTGTATTTTCTCCCCTCCCGCACACATGGCCCACTGTTTGGTGCCCCGTCAGTGTTCTGTGATTTGTTTATGAATGGACAGGTGAAATGACTTGGAGCCCACCAGCCCCAAGACCAAACTGAAGAGCTTTTCTCTTTGACATCTTTGGCCCTTTGAAGTTTGAATCTTCATCCAGTGGCTCATGGGATGGGCCTTCCTCTCTTGGAGTTTGGTCCTTGTGAAGGTCTGTAATGGTTCTTATCAGTGAGGGCTCTCTCTGCACTTGGAGCAGTGCCTTCAGGGCCAGAGAGCTGATGGGTGCTCCTGGCACTTGGCAATAATGTGTCTCTGCTCAGATCTTCCTGAGGGTCAGTCCCCTTGTTTCCTCATTGGTAAGAGTTAACTAAGTTACTGTTGTATTACTTAGCCCTGTAGTTTCTATTTAATGGCATGACTTGTAAAGAACCGTCTTAGACATGCTTCCCTTTACCTTTCACATGAATCCTTTGGGGTTTCATAAGAGAGAAGGAAATGAAGATGGGAGTCTTGGTGTCACAGATCCTCTACCACCTCCAGGGAGGTCTCGCCTTGCCCCAAGCTGATGAGTGAGAACTCCCTCTGCAGAGCCCCCACTGGCCAGGTCACTTTCCCATTAGATAAGTCCAAGTTACAAATCCTTGCCCAAGAGCTCTCCTTCACTTCCCAATTGATTCCTGCCCCTTAGGACTCTGGAAATGCCATGTCAGTCTTCAGGGGCATCAAGTATTCTTCCTCTCTCATGTACCCAGAGGCCTTGAAGACCTACAAAAGAACCTAGATAGTCTCAGCTCTTCCCAGCTGCATTCTCACCTAATGCCTGCAGGTTTCCCATGTGGACTCATCCCAGTTAAGTGGGACAGGCAAAGCGTGAAAGCAAAAGAAGGACACATCCCTGGGGAACCAGTGGTCCTAGGTCCACAGTGCTCCTCAGCTATAGTCTGAGACTGATCATCTTGATTTATCTGTAATAGAAACATAAGATAGCACAGGGGTAGGGCGTTTGCCTTGCACACGGCTGGCCCGGCCGACCCAGGTTCGATTCCTCCGCCCCTCTCGGAAAGCCTGGCAAGCTACCGAGAGTATCTTGCCCACATGGCAAAGCCTAGCAAGCTACCCGTGACATATTCGATATGCCAAACACAGTGACAAGTCTCACAATGGAGACGTTACTGGTGCCCGCTCAAGCAAATTGATGAACAACGGGAGGACAGTGCTACAGTGCTTGTTAATATTTTAGTTTTTAATAAAACTATTATCATAATTAAAAAAAATATTTTAGTTTTTGAGCCATATGTGCTGATTTCCAGGGCTTACTTCTGGCTCTACACTCAGGTATCCTGGTAGACAGAGCTCGGGGGACCATATGGGGTGCTGGGGATCAAACCTGGGTCAGCTACATGGAAGGCAAACACCCTACCTGCTGTGCTATCTTTCCAGCCCTGAATAGTGTTATTTCTAACCTCTAGAAGTAAGGTGATTCTTCATATATGTTTTATGCGATTGCAGTAACTGGTTAATAAAGAAGATAAGCATCTTCTGCGGGTGTGGATATGCTCCATCTGTCGCCTCTCCGGGTGGGGTGTTACACCCATCAAGAAGGCTTGGGGTGCCTTAAATCAGGGGTTTTTGGTACCTTGGAAGGCGAAAGGATAAGAACTCTGGGGCGGGGGAGGGGGCGATCAAAACATACAGGAATTGGGCAGTAAACAGTCTAGTAATAGAGAAGTCATGACTAGCTAGCCCTCGGATGTCAGGATCTGACCACCTAGCACCTCACTTGCCCACGGGGGTTAGATTCTAAGTGAGGAGGGTGTAGAGAGCCCCAGGGTGTTCCGTCCCCTCAGCCTCCAAGCACTGCTGGGGGTGGCCCTCAACAAAGCCGAAACAAAAGGTTGTCAGTGTAGATTTCCAGATTCTTCTGCTTCAGCTCGAGAATTTCATCCCCTGGTGCCTTTTTTCCCAAGACCCTTCGGCTCCCCCAGAAGAGGCCTCTGCTTCCCCATTGCGCTCCGGGCTCAAGGCCAAGTTCCCAATTTGAACTGAAAGTGACATGTGGCTGCCAACCCCCTGCGCTTCCTGCCCCCCAGCTGCAGGCCACCTGCGGTGCTACGATGCTGGGGTGCACCCCCAACCCCAACTCCCTACCACCCTCCCTGCAGCACAGCTGAGGCCCCTGTGCTTTGGGAAGGCCCCGACCATCATCCCTACACATACACACACACACACATACACACACACACACACACACACTTTATGGCTTCTCTCTAAAGCTCCCACAGGGGCACAATCTCCCGGACTCCCTCTGGCAGAGACGAGCACCCCAACACAGCCCAGAACCTCTCTAGTCAGCCTCCTCCCCCAAATCTTGACCACTGTCTGGGACCCCAAATGGAGAGGTAAAAGGTTTGGGAGCCTCTTAGACTCAGCTCTGAGCCTACGGGTTTGCTTCCCTCTTAACACACACCCATTTCCCTGATCGCTCCCCTGTTCCCAGGAAGCCTTCCCCAGGCCACGCAGGGGGCCCTGCCTGGGTGTCCCCAAGAGTGCCAGCTACTCCCCAGTGTCCCCGTGAGACATGCTGAGCTTACTTTTCTTTGAGTTTGGGGTCACAGGGATTTACTCCCGGCTCTGTGCTCAGGGATCCCTCCTGGTGGGCTTGGGGGGCCCTCTGGGGTGCCGGGGATTATACCCGGGTCAGCTGCATGCATGGTGAGCACCCAGTGGTCCTCCTTCCCTGCTCAGGTTAAGTTCTGTGTCTCTTATCGGTCAGTTCTCAGTCTTTCCACTGCCTTCAGAACAAAGCCTGCCCTGACTGCAGAGTGGGCTGTTGGTAACTGCTCCCCTCGTATTTCCGGTCTCGTCTAAATCTATATCTCACTCAAATCCTGTGTGACAGGCCTAGGTCTCAGACTCCCGTGGTCCCCTTGCTCAGCCCGGGCAATCCAGGCTGCCATGCCTGGCCCTCGCTCACCCCTTAGCTCTCCTCTTCTTCACAGCTGTTCACCTCAAGTGAGTGCTGTGCTGCAGACCTTCCTCCAGGAAGCCTCACTGGGTTTCTCAGGACTAGCTCAAGTGACCTTTGTTGTTCTCTGGAGTATCATGGGCTTCCTTCAAACCCTCAGTCTCCCCAAGAAAAGGGTCAGATGACAGTGTGGTCTGTGCCACTCTGCGTCCCCTCTGCAAGTCCAGCCCCAGCACAGTGAGCCGTCTGAATTGTTTGGTTTTGTTTTTTGAGCCGCAATGGGTGGTGCTCAGGGGATCAGATGTGGTGCTGGGATCAGCCCCAGCTTGGTCATGCACTCTACTGCATTATTTCTCCAGCTTTTCCCTTAAAAATAATTTTGGGGCTGTGGGTGGTGGGCACAGCTGTTGATGCTCAGGGTGTATCCCTGGCTCTGTGCTCAGGGATCGCTCCTGGCAGACTCAGAGGACCATATGGGGTCCCGGGGATCAAACCCGGGCCAGCCATGTGCAAGGCAAACACCCTGCCTGCTGTACTATCGCTCTGGGCCAACTTGAAACCCTTAAATTTAACTTCTCTGCTGAAGAAAGTGTCATGGGTTTGGGGTTTTTGTTTTGGCCTTCTAATTTGAGGGGGCTATATCCACCATGGTGCTTGGGGACCACACAGTGTCACGGACAGATGGGATACAGGCATGCAAAGCATGAACTATAGCACTTCCCCGGCCCTAGTAAGTTCTTTTAGTAGGAACACACACACACACACACACACACACACACACACACACAAAGCTACCTGCAGAGACACAACAGCAAATAAGGTTTACACGAGAAATTACAGAGAAAAGCTCAACACAGTGAGACAACAGGCTGACAGGCGGCATTTTAATTAGTCAGAACAGGCCAGAGCCTCACTCTCTGGGTGGTGTGGACCAGCAGGCAGCATCCCTTGGAACTGGTAAATGCAGAATCCTTGTCCTCCGGCCCAAACAGCGCTTTCTACCGGGATCTTGGGCGATCCAGAGGTTCAGCCCCCTTTGGGAAGCATTAGGCTAGCACATCGACGATGCAAAGTTTTGCTCTTACGCAGTGCTCAGAGATCAAACTTAAGTCACTGAAAGCGTATCAAGTCCTTTCGGCTCTTCTCTCTGCCTCTGAGCAAGGCTGTGTCCTTTCTAAGCGTCCTGCTCTGGGCCTTGGAGCCTCTCCTGGGAATCATGACACACAGCAGTTCATCATGCCATTTCTGTAGATGCCCGTAGGATGGCAAATCGGATTCTGTTGTTTGTTGTTGTTTGGGGACCCTATCTGCTGGGCTGTGATACTCACTGCTTTGTGCTCAGGGGTCGCTCCTAGTGGTGCTCAGAGGATCACGCAGTGCTGGGAGGTTAAACCAGGACCTCCCACATGCAAAACATGGGTCAGCCCACGGAGCTCCCTCTCGGGCCTCCACCCTGGATTCTCAACCGTCCACCAGCGGTTCCCTGTACAGCGCCCCCTGGAGGCAGGCTGTTTGAGTTCCATTTTCAAAGACTCTCATACAACCCAAGGTTTTGAGATTGCCCCACCAGGCACTAAGCCAATTGGCATCGGAATTAAAATGCCACCCCTTCTTGCATTCCTTCCCTGTTTCATATAAGGGGGTTCATTTTTGCATGAATCGGAACATTTTCATAAATCATCTTGTGTATTACTGAACATGGCGCGGGGAGCCCGTAAGATTAAGGAAGTGGAAGGAAGAATTGTTCAGTGGGTTGATACTAGCCCAGAGCGCACCAGCCTTGCCTGGCTGGCATGCGTCTGGCCAACCCTGGCTGCCAATCCCGTGAGCAGGAACCTGGAATCTCCTAGGGGCTTACAGTTCACTCCGAAGGGTGGTGAGGGAAAGCAGGGGGGTGAGCAGAAGCCTTGGTACTGCTGGAGGAAGGACAGGCAGTGGCTTCGGAGGATGATGCCCCATCCCCGGGGCGGCTGCATCGGTCATTTCACAGACTCAGAGCAGCTCGCATCGCTGGACTCCCCTGAAATCTGCATCCCCACTGGAACGGATTTCTAGCTCATTCCACTTGTCCCCAGTGCCAACTGGATTCTCTAGATGGCTCTGAAACGGTCAAGATAATCTCTGGCAATGATGCCAAAGTGCATCTAACTCCGTTAAAATATTTGCAAAGGGGGCAGGACTGGAGAGATAGTACAGTGGGTAGGGCGGTGTCCGCCTGGCATGCAGCTGACCTCAGTTCAACCCTTGGCACCTCCTGTGGTTCCCTGAGTCAGGGAAACTGAGTCAGTATGGTTCTACATACTCAGGGGTTACTCCTGGCTCTGGTGCTACTCTGGTACTCAGGAATTACTTCTGGCAGTGCTTGGGGGACAATATGGGGTGCTGGGGACCGAACCCGGGTTGGCCACATGCAAGGCAAATGTCCTACCTGCTGTACCCACTATACTATCGCTCTAATCCTCCTATAGTCCTCCGAGTTCCACTAGGAGTGATCCCTGAGCACAGAGCAAGGAGGAAGCCCTGAGCACTGCTGGGTAATTTTTAAAAATAATTTTATTATTATTATTATTGTTTGTTTTTTTGGTCACACCTGGCGATGCCAGGGCTTACTCCTGGCAGTTCTTGGGGGATTGGTTGGCTGTGTACAGGGCAAACATCCTCCCTACTATACTATTGCTCTGGTTCCAGGTGATTTTTATTTTGTTTGGGGGCCACACTGGCAATGGTCAGGGGACCCGATGTGGTGGTGGAGGATCAAACCTGGGCTGGCATGTGTATAGCAAGCGCCTTACCCGCTATACTATCTCTCTAGCCTCTGCACCAACAATTCTTCCCAACTAAAGTCCCACTTCCCTTTAGCTGTCTGTGGACCGATCCTCCCAGGGCACGATTCCGGGGGGTCTTCACTCTCCCTCCTCTCTGACATGCAGACTCACAGGGACACGGTCCTATATCCGGGTTTCCGAAATGACCAGACGGTGCAGTGGCAACTTCCTTGCTTGGCTTATGTGTGCCCGCCTGCCCGCCTGCTGGCGATCCCATGGGTCGAGTCCCGGGAATTCAAGGCTGAGGATGTTTAGGGTTTGTGGCAAACACCCCAGCACCCTGTACCTTGCACCCTGCTCTTACCCTGAGTCGTCTGGGGGCTGGACCTAAGGGGGCAAACTACAAAGCTCTCGCATGATCAGAACGATCCATCAGGGATGGATGTGCATAGCTGACATAGTTCCTCCTCGCTGGCCGTGACCTGTGCCCTCTCCGTGGGCGGGCGGGCGAGGAGTGCAGAGAAGGAGTCCCTTGTCTCCCCGCGTCCAGTTCCAGCACAGCCCCTAGGGCTCTGGGGAGCGGCCTTGCTCCGCGTGGGCTTGCAGCAGCCCGGCAATTTCCACATGGGCGGGTGACTTCAGAGCAATGGACAAAGCTGTCTGGCCAGCCTGCAGAGGCGAGAGAAAAGGAGGAACACAGTTCACCTGCCTGCCCCTTACCCCAGAGTGGCAGGGGGGGATGCATGGGGCCCGGCATCCCGAGACCCCAGGAGACAGGGGAGGCCAAGGGCACAGGATCCTGAGGAAAATGCCCCTTCTGGGAAATGCGGGCCCAGGGGGAGGGAGATGTGCTGTTGATGTTTGCATCTTGTAGTTTTGGGGGCTTGATCCCAGAGCCTCACCCCTGCGAGGTAAGTGCTCTACAGTTGAGTCATATCCCCCACACTTGCTGCTTGATTCTTTTTTTTTCCTTTTGGGTCACACGAGCATTGCACAGGGGTTCCTCCTAGCTCTGCACTCAGGAATTACTCCTGGCGGTGTTCAGGGGACCATATGGGATGCTAGGAATCGAACCTGGGGCGGCCGCGTGCAAGGCAAATGCCCTATCCACTGTGCTATCGCTCCAGCCCCTGCTGCTTGATTTTCAACTCTGAATTTTTATGAATTTTTAATCTGGAGGCCATGCCTGGTGGTGCTGTTGAGGACATACTCCCGGCTCGATGCTCACTGCATGCATGTGGGCACGCAGGTGTGTGTATGCACTTGGGGGACCATATATGGTGCAAGGCAAGTGCCCTGCTGGCTGATGGATCACTCTGGCCCTCTGATTATTATTTGTTGGGGCGGGGGCCACAGCCAGTGGAGCTCAGGAATGACTCTTGGCTCTGCACTCAGGGAGGGCTTGTGGAGGGCTTGTGGAGTCTTCTATGATGTTGGAGACGGAACCCAGCAAGCCAGGCAAGAGCCCTACCAGCTCTACAACCTCCTCTCTGACTATCCTCATTTTTCTTTCTTTTTTTTTCGGCTTTTGGGGTCACACCCAGTGATGCTCAGTGGTTCCTCCTGGTTCTGCACTCAGGAATTACTCCTGGTGATGCTCGGGGGGACCCTATGGGATGCTGAGGATCAAATCTGGGTTGGACATGTGCAAGGCAAAAGTCCTCCCCACTGTGCTATCACTCCAGCCTCTCCCCTCGTTTCTAAGACCTGAGCCTTAGAAACGGGCTCCAAGCATGGCAGGACATGGGCACTAATACCTCCTGCTGTCTTCTGCACAGCAGGCCATGGCCATGGCCATGCAGGAAGCTGCTGATAATGCTGTGGAAGAAGCTGTGATCAGGGGCTCTCGCTGGGCTGTGTCGGCTTCTCTGTGCAGACTGCTGAGCAGAAAGGCCAGTGAGATGGAATGAGACATGGCTCAAGGGTGGCTACAGTCTTTTTAGAGAGGGATCAATTGGGCTGGAGCGATGTAAGGGGGTCAGGACATCTGCCTTGCATGTAGCTAACCTTGGGTCAATCTTCGGAATCACATGGTCCACATGAGCACCACGAGGAGGGCCCTGAGTCCAGAGCTAGGACAGTCCTTGAGCACTACTAGGTGTGCCCACCCTTACTTTCTCCCCCAAAAGAGTGGGTCAAGGGCTAGTGTTAGTAGAAGGTTTGTCTTGCATGTGAGAGGTGCTGGGTTTGATATTCAGCACCACTCTCCAGAAAAAAACTAAGAGTGGCCTGGGCTCAGTGCCCTGTGCAGAATGCTGGGGTGTAAGCAGCCACGTTTCCAGCAAGAGATTCTCTAGGATTCCTACTCAGCATCGCTGGTGCGTCTTGTTTACATTTTGCCGCACAGCTACTAATGGTTTGGCAGATGCGGTGAGTTGCTGTAGATGGGGGCATTCCCCTAAAATGAAAGATTCCACCAAGAAGCAGGTGTGCAGTGTTCCCAAGTGGCTTCAATCTGTCCTTTTGTGTCAAGAGGGGTTCCCGCCACCGAGGACTCCACACACCCCTGGAGATGATGGCAGCGCACAAGGAGAAACCACAGAAGTCCTAAGAGGATGCTTCGGAGAGGTCAAGAGTGCGTGTGCAGGCATGCAGCTATGTCTATATGCATGAGTGTGTGCATGCGTGTATGTAGGCACGTGCACGCGTGCAGGTGTGTGTGTATGCACGAGTGTGCATGCATGTATATGTGTGTGGGCACGCAGGTGTGTGTATGCATGAGTATGTGTATGCATGCATGTGTGTATGGGCATGTGCATGTGTGCCGATGCATGTGTGCACGCATGTGTGTGCATGCAGACACGTGCATGCATGCAGGTGTGTGGGCATGTGCATTGATGCATGTGTGTGTGCACTAGTGTGTGCACGCATGTGTGTATGTGGGCACATGCATGTGTGCAGGTGTGTGTATGCACGAGTGTGCATGCATGTGTGGGCATGTGCATGCATGCAGGTGTGTATGCATGAGTGTGTGCACGCATGTGTGTATGCAGGCACGTGCATGAGTGCAGATGTGTGCTTGTGCATGAGTGTGTATGCATGTGAGTGTGCATACATGTATGTGAGTGTGTATGCATTCAGGTGTGTGTTTGTGTGAGGGTATATGCATGCATGAGTGTATGTGTGTGGGCATGTGCATGTGTGCAGGTGTTTGTCTGAGTGTGTGTGCATGCATGAGTTTGTGTGCATACATGTATGCGTATATATGTGCATGCAGATTTATAAATGTGAACGGCCAGATTGGTGGGGTTGAGCAGAATAAGAAAGGGCCTGCCAGTGGGACCCCAAGAGAAGGCATGTGGGCTTCATAAAATTAAGTTCTAGGACCCAACCCAGGCACCACATGGTCCCTGAGCAGATATCACTAGGTACAGCCGTGGAGGCCCCCAGAACCACTGGGGTGGCCCAGATCTCTGTGGCACTACAGGTCCCGAGCCATATCACGTTCTCAGGCCTGTGCAAATGAACTGTGGCCCAGTTGGTGGGAATGGCCAGTGGGGGTACCAGGCCTCCCGAGGACTGTTCAGGAAGTCCCCAAACTTCTGGGGCCCTGGGTGTAGCTCAGGTGGCAGAGCACATTCCATGCATGAGGAAGTCCCTGCGGCTGATACTGGACATGGCCTGGCCCCCTTCCTAGCCATGCGCATTGCCCTGCACGGCCCCTACAACAATAACAGTAAGACAATAAGAACCTTTCCCGAAAAGGATTCCCCATAGGTTTCCTCTGAGTACTGTGTGTTCATGGGTATTTGCGGGGCTGCTGGGAAACTCTCTCTGAGGGGGACAGTGGAACTGGCCTGTTCCCCAGGGCCCAGCAACCCCAAGCTGGCCCCAGCTTTGGGTTCCTGGGTCCACTCTCACGTACTGTTGGAAAGGAATGTTGGGTAACATGAGAGATCCTTCCCACGCTGATGAGGAACTTGAGCCAGCTAATTCCTAGTGAGTCTTGTCTTAGATGGAGCAAATCTGGATCAACATTTAAGTTTTCAGCCCAGGAGTCTGGAAAGGCAGCATGTGGGTTTACTCCGCCCAGCCCCCAGGATTCCACAGGGTCCGAGGCGGCACGCAAACACCAAGTGTGGGATGATATTTACCATGGGAACGAGCCCTGGGCCCGCCTTGGGGGACCCGGGGCTTTGGACAGGGACCATCTGGCCTGGACAGCCTACGTGTGTGGGCTTCTCATCAGCAGACGCCAAGTGTACGAGCTCCGTTCTGTTCTGAGGAGGAACAGGGGGCCTGGAGAGCGTGTCCTCCAACTTCTCTCCCAGAGACTGAGAAAAGGATGCGGGAGGCAGGGCCGTGCATGGGCACGAGGCTAGGGACACTGCATCCGGGACTGGTGTTGAGGGAGTTCTTCCAATTTCTCACGGGAGAGCAGCATTTGTCACCGTGTACGGGGATGGGAACGTTCCCAACACAGACACATGCGAAACTGTTCCCTTGTATAGCCGGACCTAATACAACAGCAAGTGGCAATATTAGCTGTTTTTCTGTTGTCATAGTTCATTGGGAAGGGGGGCAGGGGGAAACATCTGATGGTGCTCAGGGGCTACTGCTAGTTCAGTGCTTGGGGTCACTCCAGTGGTGCTCTGGGAGCCATGTAGTGTAGGAGACTGAAACAGGGCCTCCTGCATGCGAAGCACGCACAGGCCCATGGAGCTTTTTCTCAGTCCCATTGTTATCTCAGTTAAAAAAACAACAACAGGTTCGATCCCCAGCATCCCATATGGTCCCCCAGAACAGCCAGGAGTGATTCCTGAATGCAGAACGAGGAGTAACTTCTGAGCATTGCTGGGTGTGACCCAAAAAGAAAAAAAAAAAAGAAAAAAACCAACAACAAAAAAAACAGAGAAGGGCCAAAGTGATAATTCAGTAGGCAGGGTGCTTACTTGCACGTGGCCGACCTGGGTTTGATCACCAGCATCCCATATATTGCATTCTGAGCACCACCAGGAATAATTCCTGAGTGCAGAGTCAGGAGTAACCCCTGAACATCATTGGACGTGGTCCCCCAAAATAAACATTTTTAAAAGATTTTTTTTAAATTAAAAAACAGAGAAGTCAGCTACCAGCCCTGTTCCAGAGACTCATAAATAAATCTTGAAAGAGATCAACTCGCCACAAAATTTTCTCGGATACCCAGTCCCAGCTGAGACCTCCAGGTGATCTTGGGAGGGTGGCGGGCCATGTTCCCACCCACCCAAAGCCCCCACAGCTGCATCTAAATCCCAACAACTTCCGCCATGCCTCTGGACGGACTGCACACGACTGAGCTCCACAAGGACACTAACCTGCTGAAAACTTTCAGGTACATGGGGTGTCTTTTATCTGAAAACTCCAGGCCTTCTCAGAGTTGGGATGGGTGACCTCCCCCCAACTCCCTGTACCTCCAAAAGCCCTGGCAGCCATGGCCATTCTCATTTATTCATATTATTAATGTCATTGGTTTCTTTTGGCTTTTTGGGTCACACTTGGTGATATTCAGGGGTTACTCCAGGCTCTGCACTCAGGCATTACTCCTGGTGGTACTCGGGGGACCATATGGGATGCTGGGAATCAAACCTGGGTTGGCCACGTGCAAGGCAAATACCCTACCCACTGTGCTATCACTCCAGCCCCTAATGTTCATTTGTGGGCCATGCCTGGCAGAGCTCAGGGACTATACTTGGTTCTGTGCTCAGGAATAACCCCTGGTGGTGCTGCGGGGACTATATGCCATGCCAGGGATACGAACCAGCATGTAAGACAAGTGCCTTAACCTCAGGATTACCTCAGTGGCCCCTTGCAACATTGTAACACTCCCTTCCGTGTGAAGTCAAGTTGAGGGCCACCTGCTCTCTCAAACCAAGGGAAGGAAAGGGGAGCGGAGTGGTAGGGAAAGGAAGAGAGGTGGGCAGAGGAGGGGAAGGGAGGGAAAGGAAAAGAGGGTGGGCAGGGGAGGGAAAGGGCAGAGAGGGAGGGGCGTTACTTGTTGGTGAATCAACAAGTTGATGAGTCAACATTCCATCCATCCGTCTCACCTTGTCGGTCAGGCTACTGTCGCAGGCCGGGTGCGCCAGGAGCAGCCGCACCATGTCCGTGTTGCCGTGGTGACAGGCCAGCATGAGGGCGGATGCTCCGTCGTGGTCCTGCAGGTTGACCTCTGCGTGGCAGCTCAGCAGCGCCTGCACCATGTCCTCGCGGTCGTGGCTCACACCCAGCATCAGCGCCGTGCGGCCCCCCTGCACGGAGCACGTGGGCGTGGGGAGGCTGTGGCCAAGCAGGGGGGAAGCCCCTGCCCGCTGGGTGGTCTCGGACACTGTGGACAGGCACCTCCTCCAGCTCCTGGTGCAGGACATGTCCCATCCACCCAGTCGGAGGCTCCCTCCTCGCAAGAGTCCCTGACCCGCTAACGCAGGGCCACTTTCTGCCCATCTTGCTCAAGGACTATGCTACTGCTACTTGGCGTGGAAAACATCTGTCAGTGCTCAGGGTCAATCCAGGCTGTGTTCAGGAGTCACTCCTGCTGGATCACAGGTGCTGATGGGGACGAAACTGGGGTTGACTGTGTTCACGGCGAGTTCCTTAACCCCTATTCTAGCTCTCCGACCCCATGTGCAAAAAAAAAAAAAATCTTTTTTTTCTGGGCTAGTGATGAAATCCAGACTTCCTTCCCTGCAGGCGAGTGCTGTAGCCCTGAGCCTTATCCCCAGCCCCGGATGTGAATCCGGACACATTAGCTTCTGCTGGTGTCCTCAGGCAGAGACACTAAACAGAGACATCGCGACTGTTCCCCCTTGTCATCGCAGTCAGCATGGAACAGCAGCAGGGGCTTCTGGGCACAGACACTAGCGTGGGCAAACTGGGGTCAGGAGTCAAGCCAGATGGAACTCGCCAGCTTTGGGCGGTGACCTGGACGCCAAGTCCACTGACCTCTCTCCCAGTCAGTCCTGGTCTCGGAGGTTTTGTTTGTTTGGGTTTTGGGGGCCACAATCAGCAGTGCTCAAGGTTTACTCTTGGCTCTGTGCTCAGGACTTACTCCTAGCTCTGTGCTCAGAGATATCCTCCTGGTGAGGCTCAGGGCTCACTCCTAGCTCTGTGCTCAGGGCTTAATCCTGGCTCTGTGCTCAGGGCTCACTCCTGGTTCTGTGCTCAGGACTTACTCCTGGCTGGTGCTCAGGGCTCACTCCTGGCTCTGTGCTCAGGGCTCAGTCCTGGCTCTGTGCTCAGGGCTCACTCCTGGCTCTGTGCTCAGGACTTACTCCTGGCTGGTGCTCAGGGCTCAGTCCTGGCTCTGTGCTCAGGGTTCACTCCTGGCTCTGTGCTCAGGGCTCACTCCTGGTTCTGTGCTCAGGGCTGAATCGAGAAGGAAATGTGAACATCCAAGCTACTCAGGTAGGCCGTGCATGGTTCTGTGCTCAGGGCTCACTCCTGGCTGGTGCTCAGGGCTCACTCCTAGCTCTGTGCTCAGGGCTCACTCCTGGTTCTGTGCTCAGGGCTGAATCCTGGTTCTGTGCTCGGGGCTCAGTCCGGGCTCTGTGCTCGGGGCTCACTCCTCGCTCTGTGCTCGGGGCTCACTCCTCGCTCTGTGCTTGGGGCTCACTCCTGGCTCTGTGCTCGGGGCTCACTCCTGGCTCTGTGCTCGGGGCTCACTCCTGGCTCTGTGCTCGGGGCTCACTCCTGGCTCTGTGCTCAGGACTTACTCCTGGCTCTGTGCTCAGGGCTTACTTCTGGCTCTGTGCTCAGGGATCCCTCCTGGCAGGGCTCAGGGAACACCTTAAGCAGAGCTGGGGATCATATCCGTGCCAACAGCATCCAAGACAAACCATGTATTATCTGTCCATCCCTGAGATCTTAAGGTTAGAAAATATTCAGGCATAGGAACGATGTTACACAGAGGATCCAGGGTCCTTTTGAACTAAAAACTACAAGGGGTTGGGGGGTAGGGGGGTGGTTGGAGCAACAGTATAGCAGGGAGGGTGTTTGCCTTGCACATGGCCAACCTGGGTTCGATTCTTGGCATCCCATATGGTCCTCCCAGCACCACCAGTAATAATTCCTGAGTGCAGAGCCAGGAGTATCCCCTGAGCACTGACAGGCGTGACCCCGAAACAAACAAAAAAAAAACCCTCTACACAGGTCTGTGGAGATGGCTCAAGCACACCCCAGGCCTATGCAAGACTCTGAGCTCAATCCCCGCCACCACGTGGTCCCCAAGCACCTCCAGGTGTGGGCCCTGAGCACGGCTGGGGATGACCCCTATTTTGAGAAACCCTCTGTGGAGAGATCCACCCGGAAGTCCTCACCTACTGGCAGGATAAAGCAGGGAATGCCTATCAGTACTGCAGGAGCTCCCATGCACGGCCTACCTGAGTAGCTTGGATGTTCACATTTCCTTCTCGAAGGAGCTTCCACACGACAGCCATGTCTTCGTCGGTCTCTGCAGACGCCAGGGGCGTGATCATCACGGCCGTGTAGCCAGCTCTGTTCTGTAGGTCCACGTTGCAGACGCCTGGAAGGGCAGCAGGGGAGCTGGGATGGCTGCTGAGAGGCTGAAGGGTGGGGGGTCCCCTGGGGAGAGTCCCTCTCACAGGGGTGCTATCGGTACTGTGTGCTTAACGTATGTTTGTTTTTTCTTTTTGGGTCACACGGGAGATGCTCTTGGGTTACTCCTGGCTCTGCATTCAGGAATTATTCCTGGTGATGCTGGGGGGGACCAGGGATCGAACCTGGGTCGGCTGCATGCAAGGCAAACACCCTCCCCGCTGGACTATTGCTCTGGCTCCATTTACGTTTGCTCTCCGGAGCCGGGTACCTCACAGGTACAGAGCAGCTGCCCTGGGGTAGAGCTACACCCCTGACTTGTAACGGTGGTCAATTTCTTTTTGGGTTTTTCTTCTTTTGGGGGGTTTGAGACACACCTGACAGTGCTCAGGGCTTACTCCTGGTGCTGTGCTTAGGGACTGATCACTCCTTGCCAGTCTTGGGGACCATGTAGGGTGCCAAGAATCAAACTTGGATGGTCATGGGGACAGCAAGCACCTTCTCCATATATGGTCGCTCCAGCCCCTCTTTCTAAGTTTTCTGAAAGGACCCACTGGGCAAGGTCAGAGATAACGATAGCCAACTGCCACGATTCCCAGCAGGCGTGATTTCTCATAGTGGATGCAACCCTGCAGGTTAGTGAAGCTGCAGGAGGCGGAGGCGGAGTAGCCAACAGGCAGCAGCTGGTTTCTGTCTGTCTCCTCTCACTTGTAGCTAGACTCTAGTTCGTTTGTTCTGGAGCCGTGCCCGGCAGTGCTCAGGGCTTATTCCTAGCTCTGTGCTCAGGGATTATTCCTGGTGGGCTCAGGGGACCATATTGGGGTGCTGGAGATGGGACCAGTTGCAAGCCAAGTGCCTTACCCGCTACACTACCACTGCAGCTCCTGCAACTCTTTTTACTTTGGGGGTGGTGGGGGCGTGGGCCACGTTCCTGGGATGCTCGGGAGAAACCCTGCGGTGCTAGGGATCAAACCCAGAGTACCTGCCCACGTGCAAAAGTGCTCTCCTGCTCAGAGTTATCCCCCCAGTGCTCTCTGTTTCTGTCTGTCTGTCTGTCTGTCTCTCTCTCTCTGAACAAATTCGCAGATGGTTCGGGCTTAGGGGACTTCCCCAAGTACCTAGTGATCTTGTGCAAGAACCTGGAGGCACGGAAAATGCCACAGGGCAAACACAGAAAAGCTTCTGCAGAAAAATGGAAGGGAACCACGCCTTCCTTTCAAATTTGTCAAATGTTTCAGTTTGGGAGTCATACCCGGGGATGCCCAGGACTTCCGCAGGGATCACTCTGGTGGTGCTTCTGCCATACTATCTCTCCTGTCCTTTTACTTCCTTTTTATTTTTTTTGTGTTTTTGCTTTTTGGGGGGGTCACACCCGGCAATGCACTGGAGTTACTCCTGGCTCATGCACTCAGGAATTACTCCTGGTGGTGCTCGGGGGACCATATGGGATGCTGGGAATTGAACCCGGGTTAGCCACGTGCAAGGCAAACGCCCTACCTGCTGCTGTGCTATTGCTCCAGCCCCTACTTCCTTTTTAATATTAAAGCAACTGGGGCTGAGAGACAGTACAGCAGATAAGGACATTGCCTTGCACAAGGCTGACCTGGGTTCCATCTCTGGCACCCCATACGGTTCCCTGATCTTCACCAAAAGTGATCCCTGAGCACAGACTCAGGAGTTAGCCCTGAGCACCACCGAGTGTGGCCAAACCACCAGCTTCCCCCCAATAAAACAATTGTGAATAGACATGTATGTGTGTGTATATATACAGATATAGATAGATAGATAGATATATCTCAATTAAGAATATATACACACATCACATTTTAAAAACATTTTTTAAAACATCCTTTTTTAAAGACGTGCTATTAAAAGGAAACTGAAGAGATTTCTGCATTGTGACCCACTGGGAGAACCTTCAGGTACAGACCCTCGTCAGTGGCACACAGGACCCCTCAACTGCATGGAACACCCAGAGCCCCGTGACTCCTGCTTCAGGGAGAAACCTGCGTGTCTCTGTCTTTGGGGAGCTAATCAAGTTCTCCTGGTACAAGGAACCACTCGCCTTTCTCAGCATTTCCTCTCTGTAACTCTGAAAAAGAACCAGACGAACTGCCTCGGGTTATAGCAAACTGAACATGGATAGACTTTAAAGCACTCAGAATGGCGCCGACGACATTTTTATGGGTGTTTTCACCCAGGAAGGGAACAAGAGTGGGTAAGGCATTTGCCTTGCACACATGCAACCCTCATTCGATCCCTGCGTCCCATAAGGTCCCACCAGCACTGCCAAGAGGGACCCCTGAATGCAGAGGTAGGAGTCAGCCGCGCTAGGTGCAGCTCCAAAACCAAAACAACAAAGAGACTGTCACTGTTCATCGAATTGCTGGAGCGGGCCCTGTAACTTCTCCATTGGAGACTTTGTTGTTACTGTGTTTGGCATATTGAATACAAAGAAACAAAGAAACAAACATGAAAAAAACCCAGCCGGTAAGGGCTGAGTGTGGCCCCCTCCTACTGCCAGAGAGTCTTGTTCTTACAGTCTTGCTCAGGAAGAATTCAGCGCAATAAATCTGGTTTATGGAAAAACGTCAGTGGGGATCCTGACAAGTTCTGTGCAAAGGGAAAAACTGGCATCCCAATTCCGCCCCCCCCCCCCGCCCCCCTGCAGAAATGAGCTCTAATAACAGCGGTTTGCTAGAGGCTAAGGAAATAATCTGCTCGCTTCCGCTCTGGGGCCCCTCTGGAGTACTGACTGGATTCTGTAGACAGCAGCTGGGGGCTGACCATTAAGTAACAACGGACAGACGCAGCTGCCTGACAACACTGTCCAGTCCTGGGAAGGCTGTAAATATTTGCACTGCCTTGTGCATTAAGATCTTAAAATATTTTAAAGTATAACTTACGATATTTACATAAAATCCTTTATGTTTGCCTTTAAGATGCAAAGGAGGTTGGCTTGCAGCTCCTTGCAGCAAGGGCTTGATCCCAGGGGCTCAGAGAAGGGCCCAGGCATTCCCTGGGAGCCTCCCTGGAGGAAGGGGGGAATGGGCAGACAACTGAGCATGCTCAGACTCAATCTACTTCTCGGGCAGCCCAGCAGGGTCAGAGCCCAAGGACATACCATGTCCAGGTATGCTGCAGGCGCCTCCCTTTACAGTTAGCCAGAGGCCTCTTACCTTCCCCTTAAGGAGTCCAGGCCTGGATGGACGGGCTTGCCCTCCTGCACACCCCTTTCATAGCAGGGCTGCAGTGCCCATGCTCTCAGGCCCCTCCCCTGCCCCAGCAGACCTTCTGCTTGTGGCTATTTCACTGTGTCCATAAGTGAAAGTGACACGTGTCCAGCCACTTGAAGGTTGGTGGGTATTGACTGGATTCTTAGGCAGCATCTGCAGAAATAGCCACCACCACATTCTCTATGACCTGCTCCCTGGCTTGGCCTGGCCTGGCCCCACCAGCAAGGCCCTGAGCTACTAAGAGAGGTTCTAACTCACTGATGTTTCCAGCATCTCAGTGCTCACCCCCACATCCCGCACACTCGTCCCCACCCTTCCAGCCCACACACACACCCAAGGCGAGAGAGACGGATCTCAGTGGGAATTCTGGCTTAGCTACTTCATCGCTCTGCGGCCTGGTCCACACGACAAGTGCTCTCTCTCTCTCTCTCTGTGTTCTCACTAAAAAAAGGCAAGTTATGGGGCTGAAGAAATAGTTCAGTGGGTAGGGCACTTGCCTTACATACAGCTGACCCAGGTTTAATCCCCGGCATCCCCTATCATTCCCTGAGTACCACCAGGAGTAATTCCTGAGTGCAGAGCCAGGAGTAACCCCTCAGCATCGCTGGAGAAGGCCCCAACACACACACACACACACACACACACACACACACACACACACACACACACAGAGGAGAAAGGCAAGTTAAACCTACTTCCCGGGAGAAGGCTGGAGAGAGAGCCCAATGGCTTGAGTGCAGACTTTGCAAACAGAAGTCCTGAGCCCAAGCACGATGGGGTCACCTGATCACCACTGTAGTAATGCCCCAATCCCCAGCCCCCGCCCCCAGAGCTGGGAGCAGCCACTGAAGAGTGCCAAATATAGCCCAAACACCACTCCCTGCCCAACCTAGCACACCATCCCTGCACAGACTGTCTACAGCACTGCTCTGTGTCCGTGGCACCATGCTGCATGGGCCACACAAGGCATTTAGAAGCTGCGGGTGTTACCTGTAATGACAGTCCCTAAGTCTGCTGTCACGGGGACACTGGCTCCAGGAATCATGCACCATTTTTTAATTTTTTGCGTCACACCCGACAATGCACAGGGGTTACTCCTGGCTCTGCACTCAGGAATTACTCCTGGCGGTGCTTAGGGGACCAAATGGGATGCTGGGAATCGAACCTGGGTCGACCGCGTGCAAGGCAAACACCTTACCCACTGTGCTATCACTCCAGTCCCGAATCATGCACCTTTCTCCATCATTTACCACCTTCAAACCATCCCTGGACCCAGCCAGCAGTGGGACCCAGTGCCTGGGAGACACTTAAAGTCACAGAGCACATGCTTTCCAGGTTCCATCCTTGGCAGGATCGGGGCTGTGGCTCAGTGGTAGAGCACACGCTTTGCATGTGGGAAGCCCTGGGTTTGACCCCTGCACTCTCTGTCTCATTCCTCCTGGCTTCTCATCCACCACCGTCAGTCACAGATGCTCTCGGATCCCTACCCTCCTGACTCTGTGCTCAAGGACCACTTCTGTCACAAGCCTCCCCTCTCACTGTGGCCCCCTGCCAAGGCACCCCCTTGGTCCTGCCCTACAGCCCTGCTCCCCTTGGGTCCCCAAGCCTGCTGGTGACCAACTGATGCTTCCCAGGGCACTGGGGTGTGCCTTATCTAGACCCAGACCTGCTTCCCCCAGGGGAGCATTCCTGTGATTGACCCTCCATACCAGGGTCACAACAGTCCCACTCCCTTGTCACGTTAAATCTCACCCTAGCTGGAAGCACTCTGGGGTTCAGTTTCCGGTTTCCGACCAATCTCCCGGGTGCTCCCACACGGGACTGATCTCTGCCAGCTGCCTTGCTTCCGGGCACCCTCATCTCCCTTCTCTTGAGTCCCACAACCACATCCTGGACCTCTTTCTTAGGAGCCAGGGTGCGACTTCACCTGAACTATCTGCTGACCGCCCCTGGGGTGCAGAGGGTTTTCACCCAGCTCCCCTTCACCTCCCTGAGAGTCTCTAAGCATGGCCCTCCCTATCTGATGAAAACGAATTCGATGGAGACAAACTGGGCAGAGGCAGCCCGGACAAGCTGCCACCCCAGAGCTGCCTGGATACAAGATCTCTGCTCTCTGCAGCACTGTGTGACCTGAGCAAGTTTGTTTTTTTTTTTTTGGGGGGGGGGGAAATCCGCTGGTCCACACCAGCTACGCTCAGGAGTGAGCCGGTGGCGATGCTTGCTTGAAAGACCACAGAAGAAGATGCAAGGGGTCAGCACCAGGGTGGGTGGGCTGCAAAGGCAAACGCCTTGCCCCTGGCCGTCATCTCTCTCCCTGCCTGCGTTTTCCTGTCCCAACACGAGAAAAAGAACGCTCCGCCCGTGCTTCCGTGCGCGGGGGAGGGAAGCCAGCGAGCTGGCAGGGGCCGTGCCCGGACCACAGGGTCCCACCTGTCTCCAGCAGCAGCCGCACGATGGCGAAGTTGGAGTGGGACACGCTGTAGTGCAGCGCCGTGTTGCCGTTGCCGTCCGCCAGGTTCACCAGCAGCCTCAGGAAGGGGGCCGGGTGGGGCTGCAGCCCCCCGAGGTAGGCGGCCACCGCCGCGGGGCTGGACGACTTCCGGCTGGAGATGCGGAACCACTCCTGGCTGACGATGCGCAGGTTTTGCCTCTGAAAGCCCGGGAAAAGGGGGCGTGTCACCTGGCTGCGGGCCAGCCCGCCCCGCCGAGCCACGCCCCGCGCCACGCCTTCCCGCCCCGGCCACGCCCACGCCCACGTGATTGGCTCCCGGAGGACTCGCCTCCGCGTGATTGGCTCCCGGAGGGCTCAATCTCCAGTGATTGACTCCTGGAGGACTCCGCTGATGAGGATGGGCGGGCAAGCACCTTGGTGTGGGTCTAGGGGAAATTCCTGCCACCATCCCACCATGGGAAGCAGCAACAGTGATAAGAGGGATGAAAGGGAGGGGGGTTGGGGTCCTTGGGGGGAGGAGTTGGGTACACCGGTGATGGGTGTGGTGTTGGAATGATGTGCATGGGAAACTATGACTGACTATAGAATCTCAACTAAAAATTTTTTTAAATTTCTTTTGGTCTTTGTTTGTTTGTTTTGTTTGTTTGTTTGGGCCACATCGGTGGCGCTCAGGGCTTACTCCTCTGGCCCTGTACTCAGCGGTCACTTTTGGCAGGGCTTAGGGATCTATATGGGAATGGAACCTGGGTGGATGGTATGCAAACACCCTACCCAATGAACTATCATTCTGACCCCAAAATAAATAATTTAGTTTTAAAAAGAAAGGATAGAAATATATATAAATATATATATTTATATATGTGTATGCATATATATAATTTTTTTTTGCTTTTTTGGGTAGCTATGCACAGGGGTTACTCCTGGCTTTGCACTCAGGAATCACTCCTAGCTATGCTTGGGGGATCATATGGGGTGCTGGGAATCGAACCCAGGTCGGTCGTGTGCAAGACAAACGCCCTACCCACTGTACTATTGCTCCAGCCCCAATTTTTTTTTTTTTAAAGAAAAGAAAGGAGAGCCACACTATACCTAGTCACACAGTGCTTTATAGCTTGAGTCACGGTAATGTGGGTCAGGTGCCAGGTGTACAAAGGAGAGGTGAGCCTGTGTCATGCAGGATGGCCCTCCTATTCGGCCCTCCCCAGACTCCATCCTGCATGGTTTTATTATTTGCAGTGACGGGTGGTGTGTCACTGTGTCACCCCCTGCTTTCCCACATGCAAAGCACACGCTCCAGCCCTTTGAGAACCGCAACCCCCCCACACACCCGCCACAGCCCCCCTGAATGTTTTTCATCTCCTAGGCATGACTTCAGACACCACATTTGACTAATGACAAAAATGCCCGCTGAAAGTGAAGATCAACAACAGATTCGAATGATGCTGGACAGGAAACCCAAACAGCTGGGCCTGAGTTCCCCTTGGCTTTTAAAAAGCTTTGCTAGGACCTTGCTGAGAAAACGGGTTACTCGACCGTGCTTGGCCGCATCTCATCCCCACAGGTAGGAGAGGCTGGAGCACGGAGCGTGGGCTCCATGGGTCTGAAAGGAATCACGTTTGCTTTATGACAGTGAAGAGTGTGGGACTAGGAGATGCTTTCACCATCAGAAAAGATCTCAGGGCCTGGGAGATGGCTCAAAGGGCTGGAACACCTGGTTTGCTGCACAGGAGGCCTAGGTTCAGTCCCCAGCACTGCGTGGAGTGGCTCCTGAGCACTGAGCCGAGAGTCACCCCTGAATACTACCAGCTGTGACACCTTCCCCACCTCCCCACACAAAAAGAAATGATTTCATTCTCACTTGGGACTCCATCTGGATTCACTAACCCACGAGGCCAGGCTTTAGTCCTGGCTCGGATGTGTGACCTTGGAAGTGAAAGACCATTTTCCTGTTTTTGTTTTGTCTTTACCATATCAATGATGACTTTGGGGGCCACTCCTCCTAGCTCTAAGATTGGGGATCTCTCTCTCTCCTCATCTCTTTCTCCTGGCCTCCTGCACACAAAGTATGCGCTCAGCCCACTGAATTATCTTTCTGGCCCCTGAAATACCTTTTTTGAACTTCATCTAGAAAACTGAAGCAAACCGACAGCTGATTCCTGACTTAAGGCAGCTCTGCAAAGTCCTTGCATACCGAGCTTCTTCTCTATGTGAATGCTTTGATCCTAACAGGAAATTGCTGTCAGTTTGTAAATCCTCTGACAGGGTTCAATCTCCATGGACCATGGAGTTAAGGAGCAGACTGCGGTATTTTCCAGGTTTTGGTTGCTTGGCCCAATGCTGTGCTTGCAGAAAATCCAGCAAAGACTGCAAAGCGAACTGGCAGGATTAACATAGGTACAGGAGACCTTCATTGTTTTGTTTTGTTTTGTTTTGGGAACACACCAGACGGTGCTCAGGGAGACCAGATGTGGTGCCAGGGATCAAACCTGGGTCAGCCACATGCAAGGCAAGCGTCTTACCCCTGTACTATCTCCTGAGCCTTTGGAAGGAATAATTTTTTGGGGGGGATGGGGCTTCTTTGGGTCACACCTGGTGATACACAGGGGTTACTCCTGGCTCATGCTCTCAGGAATTATTCCTGATGGTGCTCAGAGGACCATACGAGATGCTGGGAATCAAACCCGGGTCCGCCATGTGCAAGGCAAACGCTTTACTTGCTGTGCTATCGCTCTAGCCCCAAGGAAGGAATAATTTTTAACCATGTGGAAATCTTTACCAAGAGAGGGTCTGTGATGGGGCCTGCATCCGGCAGATGTTGGCTCAGCACCTGGCACGCGTTAAGAAATTCTTCAGAGGGTTTATACCTAAACAACGACAACAAGAAGTGTGTTTGTGAGTTTCCAGGCCCGAGAATGAAGTGATCCTTACCTTGACTTTCATTTTCTGTTTCCCTCTCAGCAGTTTTCGTGCCCAAGCCAGGCAGGGCCCTAGAATCGGAGGCTTCTCTCGAGACAACGGGCCAGAGGGCAGAGACTGACTCAGGACTAGACTCACTGCCGGCTCGAGGCCCTGAGTTTGATCCTCAGTGCAACCCTGCTGGGATACCCAGCGCCACATCCTAAGTGCGAGCCCCTGCCGCCCTCAGCATGGCAGAACACAGAGAGGAGTTGGGTAGGGGGAAGAAACATGGGTGAGTGTCACGCCTGAGGTTCTGAACTCTCCCTGGGAGAGATCGAGCAAGTCACATCAATCTTGTTCAGCTGTATTTCGGGGCTGGCGCCAATCATGAAGCTTCCTGGGGCCCACTCCCCCCTGCAAGTCCTGATGTGCTGGGGAGTGGAGGGGTGTCTTTCTGATTCTACTTTCAGGTCTCCAAACTGACCTGGCCTCCTTGCCTCTTTTCAGGAAAACAAATCCCTCAGCACTGGCCCTGGAAATCTACTCCCCTCCCCCCTACTTGCTTTTGTTGTTGTTGTTCATTTTGGGGGCCATAACTGGCAATGCTCAGGGCTCACACCTGGCTATGCTCAGGGGGCCCATATGTGGTGCTGGGACTGAATCTCAGTTGACCATACACATGATGGGTGCCATAACCTCTGTCCTATCAATCAGGCTCCAAAATCTGCCTTTTAAAAAAGGTGAACAGAGGGCTGGAGTGATAGCACAGCGGGTAGGGAGTTTGCCTTGCACGCAGCCAACATGACCGACACAGGTTCGATTCCCAGCACCCCATATGGTCCTCTGAGCACTGCCAGGAGCAATTCCTGAGTCCATGAGCCAGGAGTAACCCCTGAGCATCGCTGGATGTGACCCAAAAAGCAAAAAAAAAAAAAAAAAAAAGTGAACAGAAAGTGCCCCCAGGGCTGGAGAGAGAGCACAGTGGGTAGGGCGTTTGCCTTGCATGTGACTGACCCGGGTTCGATTCCCAGCATCCCATTTGGTCCCTGGAGCACCACCAGGGGTAGTTCCTGAGTGCAGAGCCAGGAGCAACTCCTGAGCATCACTGGGTGTGACCAAAAAAGAAAAAAAAGAAAGAAAGAAAGCACCCCCAATTGTACATGAGAATACTATCATTTCTCCCTCTTGTTCCATGCGCCTTCCCTCCAACCTGGGGGAACGGTAGCAACCACTCTGGGAAACACTGCTTTAGACCAATTTCTTTGTGTGTTTGTTTTGGGACCACGCCTGGTAATACTCAGGACTTACTCCTGACTCTACACTTGGGGATCACTTCCAGTGAGCTCGAGGACCATACAGGGTGTCAGGGATCGAACCTGGGTCTGCTACATGCAAGACAAGCACTCCATCCTCTGCACTCTCTCTGACCTTGCAAATGTTTTACATCTTATTTTTTTTTTTGAGAAGGCCCACACCTGACAGTGTGCAGGGCTTACTCCTGGCTCTGTGCTCAGGAATTACTCCTGGTTCTGCTCAGGGAACCATGTGTGGTGCCAGGGATAGAACCTGAGTTGACAGCGTGCAAGGCAAGTACCCTACCTCTGCACCATTGCTCCAGCCCCAAGGTCAAATATTTTCTGCTTGAGTGACTGGAAAAACCCAAATCTCCATTCATGATGGTGCATTTCTTCCTACCGCTCTTTCCTGAGGGCCTCGAAACCTGGTGGGCGCATAGCAGGAATAAAGCGAGACACTCTTGCATGGGGCTACTGGCCAAACTTGGCCCTCTTCCCACATGGGGCAAGGGGCGACTAGACCCCACCTTGGGGAGCCGAGGTGGGACTCTCATTGCTTGGCTTCACACACTCTTCAGTCCCAGGGCACTGCGAGGTTGGAGCAGCCCTGTGTGAGGGTCAGCCCCCTCACCCGTGTTCTGACACTGGTGGGCCCAGGTGGTAATCCCGGCCCCTCCTATTCTTCTTGAGACCATGACTGGTGTGGCCAGTGCAGCTTGGGACACTGGGACCTACTTTCCTCAACCACTTCTCAGCTCAAGTGCTTAGGGAGAAGGCAGTTGGGATAGAGGAGGACCCACTACGACAATAAGAGCAGAAATGATCACTCTGGAGAAGAACTGGGTGCTGGAAGGAGAGGACGAAAGGAATAGAGGAATAAAGGAATAAACATCATCAGACCTCTCAGTATCTGTGTTGCAAACCATAATGCCCAAAAGGAGAGGGGTTGGGGTGGGGAGAGAGAGAGAGAGAGAGAGAGAGAGAGAGAGAGAGAGAGAGAGAGAGAGATGCCTGCTCTGGGTACAGGCTGGGAGAAGGGATGGCGAGAGGGAAACTGAGGACATTGGTTCTAGAAAATATACATCCCTGGAGAAGGGATGGGTGTTGGAATATTGTATGACTTAAGCCTGATCATGAACAACAGGTTTGTAACTGTGTATCTCATGGTGATTCAATTAAAAATTAATGAACAAAATATGACTTCATAAATCAAGAAAACAAAACAAAAAACATCAGCCACCGTTCCTCAGATGAGGGCAGGAAGCTAGGCGTAGGATTCCAATCAAGGTGTGCCCAGTGCCAAGGGCACTTTTTCTATTTTTTTCACCATGCCACATGCCCTCCCCCCATCACTTTAAAAAAGCAAGGTAGGGCTGGAGAGATAGTAGAGCGGGTAGGATGCTTGCTTGCCTTGCACACTGTGGACCTGGTTTGATCCCCAACATGGTATATGATCCCCTGAGCACTGTCAGGAGTGATTCCTGAGTGCAGGGCCAGGAGTAACCCCTGAGCATGGCGGGATATGCCCCCCACTCCAAAATATTTTATTTTAAAGGCAAGGTGTGTTTGAGAGCTAGTACAGTAGGTAGGGTGCTTGTCTTGCACACAGCTGACCTGAGTTCAATCCCTGACACCCCATAGGGTCCCCTGAACCCCACCAGAAGTGATTCATAAATGTAGAGCCAGGAATAATCCTTGAGCAGAGAGAGAGAGAGAGAGAGAGAGAGAGAGAGAGAGAGAGAGAGAGAGAAGAAAAGTGCCTGCCATAGAGGCAGGCTGGGGCAGGGCTGGGGATAGGGGGTGGGGGGAGGGGGGAGGAGGGAATGGGCAGGTGAGATGGGAGGGAAACTGGGGCCACTGGTGCTGGGAAACATACACCGGTGGAGGAATGGGTGTTGGAATATTATACTACTGAAACTTAATCATGAACAGCTTTGAAAGAGCCTATTTCACAGTGATTCAATAATAAAATCTTAAAAAGAGAAAGAAAGCTGGGAAGGAAGGAAGGAAGGAAGGAAGGAAGGAAGGAAGGAAGGAAGGAAAGAAGGAAGGAAGGAAAGGAGGGAGAGAGGGAGGGAGGAAGGAAGGAAGGAAGGAAGGAAGAAATAATCCCTGAGCACAATGAGTGTCCATGAACACTGCCGGGTGTGGCCTAAACACCACTCCAACCAACATAAAAATAAAGATAAATAAATGGAAAGTTCTAGAACAAAAACCCTAACAATAAATTAAAAACAGTGTGGAGAGTCAGAGACATAGCTTTAAGGGCTGGGGTATATATTTTGCTTATATGAGGTGCAAGGTCAGTCCCTGGCACCAAGTGGTCTCCAGAGCACTGTTGGGAGTGACCCCAAGCACTGTGGTAAGTGACTCCTGAACCCTCGGGGTATGCTCCTGGGAGGCTCCTGGGAGGCTCCTGGGCACTGCTGGGTGGTCTGGAGAAACTCCGGGCATGCCACTGAAGCCCTGACTTGTTCGGCCAAGAATACAGGTAAGGCTTCCAGGCCTCCTGAGCACCACCTGGGCCAACCCATAACAGAGAAGCAGAAGCACAAACAGAAGGTGAAGCGTGAGGCTGGAGAGATACTTCAAGGCTTCGCAAGCCTTGAGTCGAGTTCAGGAGTCCATCCCTAGCACCGCCCCATGCCCCAAGCACCTCTGGGCAGGATCTGTGAACCTGCAGGGTGTGGTCTAAACACCATCTCCACCAACATAATGTAGCACTGCCCTCCTGTTCATCGATTTGCTGGAGCAGGCGTTAATGTCTCCATTGTGAGACTTGTTGTTACTGTTTTGGCATATCAAATATGCCACGGGGAGCTTGCCAGGCTCGGCCGTGCAGGCAGGATACTTTCAGTAGCTTGCCAGGCTCTTCAAGAGGGATGGAAGAATCGAACTCGGGTCAGCCGTGTGCAAGGCAAACGCCCTACCCGCTGTGCTATCGCTCCAGCCCACCAACATAATAGTCAGGGCAAAGGAAAGGAGGGCAAGGTGGAGGCCAGGGATGGGGCGCCCCCACATGGACCAGGCCCTGGTTTCAGGCCCTGCAGCTAAAGAAGCGAGAAAGGCCCGACCCAGCTGTGCAAAGCGGGTGGGCCAAGGTCAGACCTCCTTGGGCTCACTCAGCTTCCCCGCACCTCCTTTCCCACGCCTGCTCGCAGCATCACACCAAAAGATAAAAAGGTAAAGGTAAAGGCCCTCCCGTTGATCGTCGATTTGCTCGAGCAAAAGATAAATAAAGCAAAAAAGAAAAAAGAAGAAAGAAAGAAAGAAAGAAAGAAAGAAAGAAAGAAAGAAAGAAAACCCCAATGCCTGGCCTATAGAGTTGTCTTGGCTGAGAGTGGGCACAGGTGGTTTCTTCCTCACCAAATGTGAGTTAGACCAGAGCAGGGTAGGGGGCAGAAGAAAGGGGGCGGGGTCACATCAGCAGAGGTGAGTCAGAGCCCCAGGATCCCTGGCAGGATTCGGGAAGAGATGCACGCACGAAGGCCCTCGAAGCAGGTTGGAGCACAGGATCTGCACGCAGGAGGCCTGGACCCATTCTGGGCACCATACCATCCCTCCTCCCACCAACACTAGGAGCATATCTGGAGCACAGAGCCTGGAGTAGTCCCTGAGAACAGCCAGGTGCCCCCCCCCCCCCGCAAAAAAAAACCAACAAAGATATGCCCGAGAAGTCTTTCCAACGGCCATGCCAGGCCCGAGGGGAGCTTTCCACGCAGCCAAGAATACAGACCCCACGCCTCAAGCTCTATGTGTTTATGGCGCTGTGCAAGGTCCAGCAAGGGCAGAGACTCCGCACGGCAGAGCGAGGAAGGGATGGAGAAGGGAAGGAATGGCCGGCTGCAGGGGGTCACGGCACCCCTTCTGAACCCCCACACTCACCTCTCAGCCTTGGGGGTGGGTGCTTCACCTCCAGACCTGCTTTCCTGGCCAGAGCTGGGGGGTCCCTCTGGGAGTGGCGGCCCCACCTGGTCACTGGGCTCTGTGCCCCGCCGGCTTTGGACGCCGTCACCCTTCTCCGCCTCGCTGTCGGACTTGTCCTCTGGGGAGCTGTCCTCGCCGCTGGTCTCCTCACTCGAGGTGGTCTCGTAGCTGAGAGGGAGAAAGAGCCAGAGCTTCGTTCCTTGTGTCCTGCCCAAGATGCGGTTCCCCAGGGACAGGATGAAGCTCAGTATCCCCCTTCCATCCCACCACTGGCGAGCGGCCCCAGGATGCTGGCGTCAGACACACAGCCTGGAGCTGTGGCCCTAGTCCATGGGAGTGATCAAGAATTGAGTTCTTTGCAACAAGTGTGTAAAGAGCCTGTGTGCTCACCCGCTGATGTCTCCGTGTGGCCCAAGACTTTTCCCAGAAGTTCTTGCTTCTGGAATCCATCCTGAGCCTCTGACTCACCTTTGGGACTATGCACACAAACTTACCCTCTTTTATCTCTCCCTCTGATCCTGTTCTAGTCTAACATTGATGAAGGAGAAACTATCTGTGTCCACTCCCAGCACAAACAGTTTGATTGGCTAGGTGTTGGGGTTTTATTTATTTCATTTTTGTTTTATATCTTTTGATTTGGGGGGGTCCACTCCCACTGGTGCTCAGTGATCAATAAAGGCCATATGTGGTGCTGTTCATTGAACCCATGAATAGCAAGGCCTTGGTGCAGGCAAGGCCTTTCCCGCTGCACTGTCTCTCCAGCCCTATGTTGGTTTTATTACAGGTAATCAAACCCAGGACCTCACAGAAGCATCTATCTGCTCTGTCACTGAATTCCATCCTCTGCCTCTCCATGGGATCTATGTCCAGACAAGACACCCAAGTTAAACCACTGCCAGGAATAAACCACAAGCATCCCTAAATATCCCTTCTATTCTGGCTGGAGCAGTCTTTTGATTCTGTGATGAAGAGAGTGAGGGACCTATGACATTTATTTTATTTTGGGTTTGGGGGGCTACTTCCGCCTCTGTGCCCAGGGGACCATGTGGCCAGCCACATGCAAGGCAAGCGCCTTAACCTCCATGCTATTTCTCCAGCCCTGGGAACTCCTGCCTCTAGCTAGCAGGTCCCACCTGAGGACCATTTCCCAAGAACACCAACAGAAAATGCCTCCATCCTGTCAGCAGAAATGTATAGTGGGCTGACGATGTACTTGGCCTTGTTCTGTGAGTTCTAACAACAGCTCTGTCTTCACTAACTGTATATTCTTGTAGGGACAGGCAGACAGTAATCACAGAAACGATATTCGCACAAAGTGATCAGAATAATAAAGAAAATGGAAAAGGACATGGCTAGTGGGAAGAAAAGTTACTGGGGTGAAAGCAGAAATTTCAATCGTGGCTGCACATTAGAATTCCTTGGGGGTGATCCGGGTTCCTAATACCTGGCTGCACCCAAGTCTGGAGTCTTCAGAAAGAGACTCCAAATATATATATATATATACACACACACATATATGTATATATGTATATATATATCACACATACACACACATCAATTTTTTTAGGGACCACACCTGGTAGTCCCTGCCAGGAATCAAACCTGGGGTTCTTGCATGCAAAAGATGTATTTCAGTCTTTGAGACAACTTCATGGACCACATTTGTGTGTGTGTGTGTGTGTGTGTGTGTGTAAAATTATTTTTGTGGTGCTGGGGATTATTGAGCTCGGGACCTCAAGCATGCAAGGAAAATACTCAGCTACTGAGCCACCTCCCTGACCCCGTTTGGTAGGTTTTGACGGTTCCCCCTCAGGATTTCCAATATGCCTCCACAGTTGAGCAGCACAGCAGCAGAGAACAAAGGCTGAGGCCCCTCTGGGAGAGGAGCACGGAAGCAGAGAGCACGTTCCCAAGAGGGGCCTGACCCAGCACGTCGGGGGAAGAGCAGCTGGAACCAGCAGAGAGGCCCTGAGACAGACCCCCGGGTTCGGGTGGTTGGGGGATGCATTGAGGTGCGGAGAGACAGGCCCTGCGTTAGACTGTGCGATTAGGCGCTCCCTTCCTGCCCGCACTGGGAGACGCCCTCACACACTCTGAGCGCAGGGGTAGGGTCACCACCCTGCAGCCCCGTTTCCTCCTTACTGACATGGGACGAGCTGATGGCCCCCTCTAAATCTGGAGTCTCCCTCTGACCCAGACAAGCTGGCATGCCCGTCTTTTCCAGGGGTGGGGGAAAGGGACTTCTTAGGGGACTTCCCCAGCGGCTGAAAAGTCCTTCTCTGCCAGAATTCAACCCAGAATTCCCATCAGCTTTTGTCTTCACAGCTGGTGTCACCTCGGCCGAGTCCAGACTGTGAGGTTGTGCAGGAAGGGCATCGGACCCAGGGTTTCTCAAGCTTTTCCCCACCGTGGTCCCCTTTTGCCCCTTTTCTCCCTTTGTCCCTTGCCCTACTGTTTTTTTTATTTGTTTTGTTTTGTTTTTTTTTGCTTTTTGGGTCACACCCAGCGATGCACAGGGGTTACTCCTGGTTCATGCACTCAGGAATTACTCCTGGCCGTGCTTGGGGGACCATATGGGATGCTGGGAATCGAACCCGGGTCGGGCCGTGTGCAAGGCAAACGCCCTACCTGCTGTGCTATCACTTCAGCCCCTGCCCTACTGTTTGAGGCCCTCGTTTCATGCCCTCTCTCCATTTATTTGATTTTCACCAGGTGCCTCCTTGCAATATTCTGGGGGTCCCAGTGGGGCATATGGCTCCTTCTTAAGAAACATGAGTCTATTTTGCCTGTCTGGGGGGGGGGGGCTACACACAGCAGTGGTCGTGGGTCACTCTTAGCTCTGTGTTCAGGAGTCACTCCTGGCCCTGTGCTCACTCCTGGGAGTGGGGAGGGGAGAGCTCAGAGGACCATATATCATATGGGGTATTGGGGATCAAGCCTGGTTGGTGCGTGTGAAGCAAGCACCTTACATCTGTATCTTTGTGGCCCCTGACATTTTGACATTTAATAAGTGTCTGTTAAATGCTCAGCTTAGCAAATATTCTAAATCCAGGGACCTCTTCTCCTGATCAGAGGTGGGACCCTGGCCCCGTTCCTGCTTGCAAAGACTTCGCTGGCTTTTCATCACCCCAAAACACACTGTCTGCGTTGGCAGTCAGGGAAGAAAACAATTAAGAGGATGAAATTTGTAAGTTCAACTCATTTGGAGTGTGTCCTACTTTCAGTATGTGGTTCTAATTAAGTGTCTTCCTCAAAGGGCCCAGCTTACTCTCTCCCCCACCCCCTCCAAGCTCCTGGGAGCCCCCTGCAATCCTGACCCCGGGAGCCCCAATGTGCCCTTGTAAGACTGCCTGGGCTCCGACAGACCCTGGCAAGAGGCCCCGCGCATGCAAACCCAAGCAGCAGTTTGAAAGGGCCACGGAGATGGATTCGCTTGAGGGAGGATGCAAAGCAGCTGCAGCCCGCTGGGAAAGTGGGAGAGTGAGGGAAGGGCAGTGTGGGAGAGGGGGCAGGGAGGTCATCTGGGCTTCTCGAGGATGCTTACCCACCGTTAACCCCAACAAACTGAAGGTTCTTTTTGGTCCCATTACCTCCTGCACGGAAGCCATAGTCTTTCTTTTTCATTATGGATTTAAGGCTGGTCGTTGGAGAGAGCTCTAGGCAGACACAACATCACAGGTTAGAACCATCTGGAGGCTGCCCCGGGGTGCAGCAAATGGACTTTCAGAGGGGGAGGAGTAGGGGGACGGGGGAAGAAGTAGGAGGCGGCAGTCGGGGACCAAGCTCGAGAGGGTGCAAATCAAACTTTCGTTTGCCTTTGGGTCACACTGGGTGGTGTTCAGGTGGCTCTGGGGTGCCAGGAACTGAACTTGGAGCTCCTTCATGAAAAATATAGGCTCCAGCACCTTTTTTCTGAGGGGGGACATTTTTTCAGGGTCATACCTAGCGATGCTCAGGGGTTACTCCTGGCTCTGCACTAAGGGATCACTCTTGGCAGGGCTCGAGGGAACATAAGAGATTCCAGGGATCGAACCCAAGTTGGCTGCATGCAAGGCAAATGCCTTCCCCGCTGTACTATCGCTCTGGCCCCGGCTCCAGTGCTTTGAGCTGTCTCCTGGCCCCTAACTCAATCAACAGATTCCTTTGGGTTGCTTTTGTTTGGGGGTCATGCCCTGCGGTGCTCAGGGACTCTCCCTGGCTCAGTGCTCAGGTCGTTATGTGGTACAGAGGTGGATACTGGTTCTCCCATTTGCAAAGTAGGCACTACAGAGGTGGATACTGGTTCTCCCATTTGCAAAGTAGGCACTACAGTCCTCTGAGATTGCTCCCTGGTCTCTAAGGACATGGGGCCAGGGAGGAGCATGCTGAGGGTCTCTGAAGGGGAGTGGCCTGGCTCTCTGGCCAGTGCAAAATGGCCCCTATTCACAAGAGGGCACGGCAGGGGTAAGTTTTGCCATGCTGTCTCAGAAGAGTTCAGTAGCTTCGAGTGCAGGCTTGGCATTCAGGGGACCCAGGTCTGACCTCCAGTACCACCTGCACCTCTCCCCCGGCACTGCCAGGACTGGCCCCTGAGTACCAAGTTGAAAATAACCCCTGAGCACTGTCTGGGATAATGCCCAAATGAACAAACAAAAAGGGAGATGGTACCAGTTCCAAGGGGCATCATCCATTTTTTTCAGTCTGCCTCTTACACATAAAAATATCCTTGATTTTTTGGCGGGGGATGGGGGATAGCACCACCTTTAGTGGTGTTTAGGGGTCACTTGGGGGACCATGTGGTGCTGGAGACCAAGGCCAGGCCTCCTGCCTGTGCTTCCAGCCTGCTGAGTCATGTCCCTGGTCCTGTATTTTAGCTAACACTCCTCCTAAGCCAGGAGGGAGAAAACCTCATTTTCTTCCAGAATGGAACCGGGAAACAAGGAAGGGAGGCTGAGCAGGGCGGGGCCCACCAGCCCGGACAGAGGGTGTCCAGGCCCCATGCAAATGAGGGGGCGGAGCCTGTCCAGTCAAGAGTGGATTTCATTGCCTCCCTCTGGCTCCTCCTCCTGGTTCCCTGCACTCTGCACAGCTGTTCACTAAAACCTGCCCCTCCGACTTTATTATTGTTATTATTATTATTATTATTATTATTATTATTATTTTGGCTTTTTGGGCCATAGTCGGTGATGCTCAGGGGTTACTCCTAGCCCTGCACTAAGGAATCACTCCTGGCAGTATACTCAGGAGACCATATGGGATGCTGGGGATCGAACCGGATTGGTTGTGTGCAAGGCAAATGCCCTACCTGCTGTGCTATCACTCTGGCCCAGTTGCCCCTCAGTCTTAACCTTAGAGCAAGGCTAGTGGGGGTGGGGGTGGGCTTGTCCCAGGCTCCAACATTTAGATGAGCTTTTGTTTGGGGGGGGAGGGTCACACCTGGTGATGCTCAGGGCATCTGCACTCAGGAATCACACCTGTGCTCAGAGGACCCTATGGGATGCTGGGAATGGAACCCGCGTCAGTTGCGTGCAAGGCAAACGCCCTACCTGCTGTGCTATCAGCTCCAGCCCTCAGATGAGTTTTATATCCCACTGAGCTCCTTGAGGTGCTTAAATTAAAAAAAAAAAAAAAGAAGAAGAAATGTGCAACTAAAACCTTTTCACTTTGGTCTCATCACTTAAACGAGGAATGGTTCCCTGTCTGTGGAACCGGGGTTTTTTTATTTGCTTATTTTTTTTGGAGGAAGGGGGCCACACTGGACAGTGCTGGGTGGGGTGGGGTTGGGGGGACTAATGCCTGGATCTGGGCTTGGGGATGGCACTCAGCCGGGCACGGGGGACGCTGTGGAGCTAGAGACTGAGTCCCAGGCTCTTGCACGGAAGCACGTGCTCAGCCCAGCGGGTAATTACCCACGGGTGGCGAGGTGGCGGGCGCAGGCGCGGGGGCCTGCGCGGAGTAGGCGGACAGCAGTAGGTTGAGGGAGCTCAGCAGTTGGCTCTGGATGCTGCTCAGCTTGGACGCCGGCTGGCGCAGGGCACTGGCCAGCTCGGGGTAGCCGTGCTCCAGGCAGCTCCACTGCTCCTGCACCAGCTCCTGGATCTTCCTCACGTACTGCCCCAGCGTGGCGTCCGTGGGCGAGCTGGGGGGCCTTCCGGGGTGCGCCTGCTCGGAGCTGGCCCCCTGTCCCTCCTCTGCGGCAGCGGCAGGGTCCTTTCGGCCACCGCTCCACGAAGCACCTCCTGGAACGTCCAGCGTGGGAAGCTCTCCCTCCTGCTCCAACTCCCCCTCTTCAATCCTGAGCTCCGTAGAGAGGCAGCTCTGCCTAGAGGGGGTGAGGACCGGCTCGGCGCCCCTGGCCGGGGACAGCAGACGAGGTGCCCCCAGCTCTGCTGGGCTCCGATCCCCTCTCCGGGGACGGTCCCTTCCCCCGGGGAGGCCATCGTCCTCCACCCGTGCTGCCCCGCTCTCAGAGGCCACGCTGCCCCCAAGGGCCACCCCCACGCTCTTGTCACACGACTCCTTGGGCGAGGCTCCCGGGAGAGGGTCAGTGTTGACCATGGCATCGGCCTGGTCCATAGTGGCCCTGCGGCCGAGCTCTGCGACCAGCCGAGCCACGGTGGCCTGCAGCTCCTCGATGCGCTGCCCCTGGCCCCGGCTCTCCTCCTCCCGCTGCCGCAGCGCCTCCCTGGCCCGGGCCAGCTCCCCGCTCCTCTCGGCCAGCTCGGCCTCCAGGCTGCAGAGCTGCCGCTTGAGGCTGGCCAGCCCGTGGGGCTCGCTCCTGGCCAGCCCCAGGCTCTCCTCGGTCACGCGGATGCCCACGCTCCGCACGTGGACCTCGATGGGGGGCGGCGGCGGCGGCAGCTCGCGGATGCTCAGCTCGATGTCTTCCGGGGGCCGCTGGTCCTCGGGGATGGGAGACGGCAGAGGTGGGGGGCTGGGGCTGGGGGCGTCGGGGCCGCCCACCGCCTCCGTCCCCCCACCGTGGGCTCCGTCCTCGGCCTCTTCGAGAACACCAAGCGTCTTCTGGGACAAGGACAGAGGCGCTGGGAAAGAGGGCGGGTGGGGGGCCTCTGCCCGGCCCCGCTCTGGGACCCCCGACTCGGAGTCTGCAAACTCTCCGGCTCTGGGTTGCGTGGCTGAGGATGGGTTGGAGCCCCGGAAATCCGCGACTCCCTCCACGGGGCCGAAGTTGCCCTCCCAGACGCCCCCTCCACTGGGGGCGGCATCGGGGTGGGGACCCTGCTCCTCCGCGGCCCCGGGGGGTGGCAGGGTGGCGGGCATGCTGCAAGCCCGCAGCAGCTGGGGGCGACCACTGGCACAGCCGGGCTCCGAACCCCCCAGGCCCGCTGCGTCCAGCTGCCGGGCGGTCTCGGCCAGCAGGGCCTGGCGGTGGTAGCTGACCTCGTTCCTGCCCGCCGCGGCGGCCTGGGGGGCGTTCCCCAGGGAGGGGGTCCCCTCTTCCGTCCTGAGCGGCCCTTTCTGCAGCCGCGCCGGAGACCAGTGGAGGGGGCCTGGGGCGGCAGCAGGCCGGGTCCCGGTGTCCGGCAGGCTGAAGTTGCGGGGCAAAGTGCTGAACTTGGTGGCCTGCTTGTGCCTGCGGTGGATGGGGACCCGGCGGAGGGTGTGGCCCTTCTCGATGTCGTCCACGTACTTGAGGAAGTCGAGGTCTAAGTGGAAGCCGTAGGGGGTCTCCACGGAGTAGGGGTGCCCCTTCGGCGGACCCCTCTCATCCTCTCCCACAGGGGCCTGGTCATTGGCTGAGAAAAAAGAAAACAGGCAAGAAAGAATTGCAGGGTTAGGAAGAGTCTGGGGCGGAGAGGCTGGACTGTGCTTTTTTGCTTTTTTTTTTGTGGGGGGTCACACCCAGCGATGTTCAGGAGTTATTCCTGGCTCTGCACTCAGGAATTACCCCTGGTGGTGCTTAAGGGGCCATGTGGGATGCGGGGGATCAAACTCAGGTCAGCCGTGTGCAAGGCAAATGCCTTCCCTGCTGTACTATCACTCCGGCCCCCAGACCGTACTTTTCATTCAATCTGGGGCCGACATGTCTACCCATCCAGAGACCAAGGTGCTCAAGGCCATCAGGGAAATGTATGTGGTGCTGGGGACGGAAGTTGGGGCTCATGGATGCAGGCATGTGTTCCAGACCTTTTCATCAATTTTTTTTTTGGGGGGAGCATACCCAGCTGTGCTCAGGGCTTACTCCTGGCTCTGCACTCAGGGATGATTTCTGGTAGTGCTCAGGGAAACCAGATGAGGTGCTGGAGATTGAGCCCAGGTTGGCCACCTGGAAGGCAAGTGCCCTACCTGCTGAATTATCCCTCTGTCCCCGAGGAATAACTAATAAAAATAACTAATTATTTTCTTTCTTGTTATTTTGGTATTTTTTTGTTTGTTTGTTTAAGTCACACCTGCCAATGCTCAGGGGGGTTACTCCTGGCTCTGCACTCAGGAGCTACTTCTGGTGGTGCTTGGAGCACCATATGGGATGCTGAGGATCAAACCCAGGTTGGCTGTGTGCATCGCAATTGCCCTACCCACTATACTATCACTCTAGCCCTGAACCACTTTTTTTTTTTTGGCATCATACCTGGAGATGCTCAGCTAGGTTACTCCTAGCCCTGCACTCAGGAATTATTCCTGGTAGGGCTCAGGGGACCATAAGGGATGCCGGGAATCAAAACCAGGTCGGCTGCTTGCAAGGCAAATGCCCTTCCTGCTGTACTATCGCTCTGGCCCCTGAATTTTTTTCCCCTTTATTTTATTTTATTTTTTTTTTACAGTTGTAGATTTACAATTTTTTGTGCTTTGGTTTCAATTATAGAATGATCAGATACCCATCCCTCCACCAGTGCCCATTTTCCACCACCATGGATAATATCCCTCCCACCCCCATCCCCCCATCCCCCCTGTCTCTGTGGCAGGGCAATCCCCTGTGTTCTCTCTCTCCTTTTGGGTGTTGTGGTCTGCAAAAGAGGCACTGAGTGGCAAACATGTTCAGTCCATAGTCTACTTTCGACATGCATCTCCCCTCCTGGGAGGATCCTCCAAACATCCTTTATTTGGTGCTCCCTTCTCTATCTGAACTGCCCTTTCCTCTAGGATACCCGGCTGGCCTCTAAGTTATGGAGTAATCCTCCTGGTGCTGATCTCAGCTATTCTTGGGTATTAATCTCATACTTTGTTACTTTATATCCCCCAGATGAATGCAGTCTTTCTATGTCTATCCCTCTCTTTCTGACTCATTTCGCTTAGCATGATACTTTCCATATTGTACCACTTGCATGTAAATTTCATGACTTCATCTTTTCTAACAGCTACATAGTACTCCATTGTGTAGATGTACCAAAGTTTCTTTAACCAGTCCTCTGTTCGTGGGCATTCAGGTTTCTTCCAGTTTCTGGCTATTGTAAAGAGTGCTGCAATGAACAAACAAGTGCAGATGTCACTTCGACTATACATTTTTGCCTCTCTGGGATATATTCCCAGGAGTGGTATTGCTGGGTCAAATGGGAGCTCAATTTCTAATTTTTTGAGAATCGTCCATACTGTTTTCCAGAAGGGCTGAACCAGTGGACATTCCCACCAACAGTGAAGGAGTGTCCCTTTCTCGCCACATCCACGCCAGCATCGGTTGCTTTTGTTCTTTTGAATGTGTGGCCCCTGAATTTTTAATATGTGTGTATGTGTGTCTGTGTCTGTTTTTGTATATATATATATATATATATATATATATATATATGGTGCCAGGGTTCAAACCCAGGGCCTATATTAGCCCTGGGCACTATCTCTCTGTGCTACATTGTCTACAATGTGCTCTCTGTGCTACAAAGTTTCCATTAAGTCCTCTCTGGTTCCTGCTGAGGACACCGCCTGCAGAGCAGCAAAATAAAAGACATCTCCTGCTGATTTACTGGGCTGGAGTCACATCATTGCTGAATCTGCCCGATCAGGGAGCAAATTGGTAATTTTGGAGATGGAAGGGTTCAAAGCACGAGTTTCACAATGCTCTCTACATTAAACATGAACCTTGCCGGATGCAAATGGGCACGAGTAAATCCTGCTGAAGCCGGAGGGATCAGGAGTTATGCCTTCTACATTATTTAAGCTTCCTCAGCTGCCTGAACCTCCAGACTCCTGCAGATCGGCGAGAGCTGGAACACGGGATCATGCAGGCCCGTCGTCTCAGTACCCAAAAGCCTGCTGAGCGCCTACCAGACTCGCCATCCATTTTCAAAGATCCCCCGGCAGGTGAAGAATAGCCCATTTTTCACAGAAACAAGGCAAGGAGGGCAAAGACTAACAGAAAAGGGGCTTGGCACTGATAGACCAGGAGTATCACACCACATCGGATGTGATGTAAAGTAGAAGGCAACCAATCTCGATTACGAATATAGACATACACACGGCTTACCCTATAACACTATGTTAGTAATCTCTTGGACAAGAGCTAAATGGCTCCATGGTGAGATACAACAATCTCCATACACTTTCTTCTAAGGAAGTCTTTCTTTTTAAATCATTTTTAGCAAATTATTCATAACAAGCAATACAAAATAAATTATGTAGGGCCTGCTCTTGGGGCAGGCTTGAGAGGTGGTTGGGAAAATGGGAAATAATGGTGGCGGGAAGGGGCAATGGTGGTGGGGTTGGTGTTGGAATACTGAATGTAAGAAATCAGCATTGGGGCTGGAGCGATAGCACAGTGGGTAGGGTGTTTGCCTTGAACGCGGCCGTCCTGGGTTCGATTCCCAGCATCCTGTACGGTCCCCTGAGCACTGCCAGGGGTGATTCCTGAGCGCAGAGCCAGAAGTGACCCCTGTGCATTGCTGGGTGTGACCCCCCCAAAAAAAAGAAATCAGCATGAACAACTGTAAAAATATAAATAAGTAATTTTTTAAAAAAAAGAAAGAAAAGGGGTTTTGGTACCCACCCTCCAGGACTCATTGGCCTCCAGACTTACGGGGCAGCCCTGACTCCCAGGGCTCTGAGGAAGGGATGTTCCCCCATCACACCAAGGCTCCATGGGGGAGTCTGGACCCCCACGGGAGGCTGAGAGGAAGCCAGGCCTATGGCTATGGAATCCACATGGGCTTGAGTCCAAGCAGAATCTTTCTTAGAGTGAACAGTTTTTTTTTTTTTGCTTTTTGGGTCACACCTGGCGATGCACAGGGGTTACTCCTGGTTCATGCACTCAGGAATTACTCCTGGCGGTGCTCGGGGGACCATATGGGATGCTGGGAATCGAACCCGGGTCGGCCACGTGCAAGGGAAATGCCCTACCCGCTGTGCTATCGCTCCAGCCCAGGGTGAACAGTTTTTGTCGTCTTTTTTATTTGTTTTTTTTGGGGTCACACCTGGCGGTTCTCAGGCAGGTGGTAACCTGGCTCTGCACTCAGGAATCACCCCTGGTGGGCTGGGGGGACCCTATTGGATGCCAGGGGTTGAATTTGGGTCGATCGCATGAAGGCAAGCGCCCTACCTGGTACCATCTCTCTGGCCCCAGTCTTTGTTCTCTGGAGATTGTCAAACGAGAGCCCTCACCATCCCTACTGGACAGTATGAGCTCAGGAGAGCATCTGAGCCATGAAGACAGACTCTGGAGCCTGGTCTTGCCCTCACATCAGTGACCTTAGGAGCTCACTTAAACACACCCTGTGCTTCCTCATTTGGAAAATGCGAAAAAACAATGGCAAGAAGAGACTTTTTGTTTGTTTGCTTTTGGACCACACCTGGCTGCGCTCAGGGACCACTCCTGGTGCACTGGGGTGGGGGGGGGGGGCGGGGGGGAACTCTATGTGGTGCTGGATTGAATCTGCGTCGGCTGTGTGCAAGGCAAGATCCCGACCTGCTGTATTCTTAGGCCCCAAGATGAGACTATTGTGAGGATGCATCATTGACACACATAAAGGGCTTCAAAAATAGGCACCCGCTCTTCAGAACACACTCACTCCTGCAAGGTAAACCTGGGAGAGGCCCCCATGATGGAGAACTGGAAGGTTCATACTGGAAGCTGACTTTCTGGATACAACGGAAGGATCCCTACACATTCTTCTTCTTCTTTTTTTTTTTTTTTAAATTTGTCTGTTTGGTTTGGAGTCACACCCAACAATGCTCAGGGGCTATGCCTGACTCTGTACTCAGGAATTAAGTCCTGGTGGAGCTTGGGGACCATATGGGATGCCAAGGATTGAACCTGGTTCTGCCACATGCAAGGCAAGCTCACAACCTGCTGTACTATCTGTACTATCGCTCCACCCCTCCCCCTCCGCCCCCACTACAAATTCTTGAGGCTGACTGATGACTTGGTTGCAAGGTAACAGCGTAGGGGTGAAATCACAGAATGGCGGTTTTTGATTCCTTATTCCACCACTATTTACTAGGCATAGATGTGTTGGTTGCTAAGACAGGGTCTAAGAACACAGAGATGCATCACTCCCAAAACATCTATGGTCAAGAGGCCCCCAAAGGAGCAAGTGCAATGCAGTTTGACAAGGATGCTTGGAGGGCCAGAGAGGGGGAGCAATGCGCAGAGACGTGCTTTGCAGGCAGGAGACCTGGATCTGGTCCCTGGCACTGTATGGAGCAACCAAGCCCCTCTAGGAGTAATCCCTGAACACCAAGTTGGGAGTAGCCTCTTGGTCATACCACCAGGTTTGACCCAAAACCAAACAAGGAAATGAAAGTTACAGGCAATGTGGTCAAGTTCAATCTTCCTTCCTGGCTTCTTTCCCCATGTCTCCAGAATGATTTTCTTAGACTCCGAGGTTAAATATGGGAGGAAAAACATCAAATGACGGCCTGAAAGTGACTTGTGATGGGGCACTGAGTGAGAAACAATCTGCCAGAAGAAGGTTTGCAGCTGTTGTTCTCCAGGAAGGCCACCCTCGGTGCTGGCCCTTCCTAGACAGCTCAGGGGATCGCCCATTGAGAGGCGGCAGCGATTTCTCCATTGCTCTGCACACGGGCTGGCCCAGGACAGCTCTGACCACGAGAAAAGGAGAGAAGGACACCCAGACAATCCCTGAGCAGCCTGGAACTGCCGTTGGGACGCTCGGCTGGAAAGCCGGGGGCCAAAGCCAGAGCCCCGCTTCCCTGAGACTGCAACGCCGGGGAGAGTCAGTGGGGAGAGGCATCTCGCCGGCCTGACTGCCCAGCCTTGGTGCCTCCGTAGGACTCCAGGTCCCTGACTTCAGGGCAAGAGGGACCCCTGGTGAGACTGTGGAGGGTGGAGCTGGAGTTAAAAGAGGGTTTTGGGGCAGCAGGAGAGAGCCAGGATGGGACATGCGGAAAGGCATGGGGGAAAGCCCCCTCAACAAGGGCAGCAAATGCGGCTTCAGCTTTCGGCAGAGCAGAGAAGGCTGCACCAGAGCCAGACCACAGAGCAGCCTGTGCACGTGCCATGCAGCTCTGCGCCTGCCTACTGGGCCAAGGGCCTCTGCCCAAGGGCGCCTTTCCCGAGCACACACTGTCAGAGGGGTGGAAGAGAAACCAAGGCCAGAGCCTGCTGCCAAGGGGGAGAAGCTGAGGGCAATGGGGGGAGCTGAGAAGGGGCAGGGGGGCGGGGTGGGGAGGGAGGTGTACCCAGGCATTGGGGCTAGGTCTCCCCAACAGCAGGGAGACCTACTGGGGCTGAGCTCTCCCCTCTCTGCCTGCCTGCCTGGCTCCCCATCACCAGGCTGGTGGACGTGACGGTCAGGAGACCCTCAGCGACCCCCAGGAGTCAAAGTGCAGCCGCAGCTGAGCCCTGAGCATGACTTGACAGAGGCCCCTCCTCGGTCTCAGTGCAAAGTAAAACCGCAGGGGCTGTGGGCACCTTCATCCTAGAGACCAAGCTCTGCCCCGAAGGAAGCACGTCCACCAGTTTAGTAAGTCAGAGCTGGTTCTTGGTTTTCAAGCTACCCCCGGTGGTCCGCACAGCCTCATGGTACATGTAGGAGCCTCCGGAGACACTTGGGGACATTTGGGGACAACCTGAGAAGATGAACTGTGGCCAGGGTTTAAGTGGGGAGAAGGTCTGTGACCCGGACTGCAAAGTTCCCTCCTGCGGGAGAGGCTGCCATGTCACCTGCTTCATGCTGCCCGTCAGCAGGAAAGCACGCCTTTACCCTGCAGCCTCCGGGAGCAGGGCCAGGCACGAACCCAAGCCGAGCATCAAAGCAGAACCAACACGTTTGCAAGGAAACCTTTCCACAAGAGAGATGAGGGCAGCCAAGGGGATCTGGGCACTCCCAGGGAGCCACACTGAAGGAGGTGCTTCCTACTTCACACACACACACACACACACACACACACACACACACACACACACGCACACATGCACTCACATGCACCCAAACAAACATGTACATACATATACACACATGCCCCCACACATGCACACATGTGCACACACGCACAAACATGTACACACAAACATGCACACACATGCACACACTCACATGTACCCACACAAACATGCACACACATACACGCACACTCACGCATACACACACATGCACACACATACACATGTGCACACACATGCAAACACATACACACAGACACACACACACAGAGGAATACACACACATACCTGCCTCTGCGTACTCTCTCTCTCCCTCTTCCCCCTCCTTACCCCCTCTCCCCCACAAGGCACAGGAATGCTGAAGCTGGATTTCTGGGTCACCTGTGGCAGGTGCGCAGGAACAGTGTCCTGGGCACAGGGCCAGAGTAAGCTCAGGCCTTACTTCTGATACTGTGGCCCAGGATTCACTCCTGCGGGGCTCGGGGGACCATACCCAGTGCTAGAGATTGAATTCTTGTCAGCCGCATGCAGGGCAAGTGCCTACCCGCTGTACAGTATCACTCTGGCTCCTGCAAATGTTTGTCAGTTTTGTTTTGCTTGGGGCCACAAACTGTGCTCCAGGGCTCACTCCTGGCTCTGTGGTCAGGCAGGCTCACTCCTGGTGGTACTAGGGGACCATACAGAAAACTCTTAAAATACACCGGTAACCCAAGCAATGCCTGTGAGCTGCCCTGGAAACTGACCTGGACAGAGAGGGTGCAGTGGGAATCCTGACTTGTAGCCAGTGGCCTGGACCTTGGGACTGGTGTCCAGATAGTGGCCATCTTACTCACTCAGGGATGTGTCTGCTCTAAAAGAGGCAAACATTGATGGAAGGAATTGGTGAAGGGATGGGTATCAGAACTATGTATGACTGAAACCCAATCATGAACTGTTTTGTAACT